TCCCTCTGCCTTATGGGGAAGGGCAAAGCACCCGCCTTGCGGGCAGAAGGTCCCAAGTTCCCCCTTTCCATAGCGCCCCCTGGCAAGGCAGGGAAAGACTCCCTGGTCTGATACCCTGGAAAGCCACCGCTGCCAGTCGGTGCAGACAGTACCGAGCTACGTGGACCAAAGGTCTGGACTCCGTACAAGGCAGCTTCCTCCGTTCTCAAATGCCAGTTTAGACAGGGAGGAGAGACAAGGGCGAGTCCCTGCGAGGCAGAAGGCAAGTCAGGTCCGCCTCCCCCCCCCCCGTCCCCCTCCGCTCACTCACCGACTCCCCCGCCGTGGGGTCTGCCCAGCCCCGCCCGCAGCAGCAGCAGCCCCGCCGCCATTTTGCACCGTTCACCGTCCCCCTTCTGCCTATTCGTGCCCTCCCGCTCTGAGAGGGGGAGGGATAAGGCCCAAGGGCACTCGCTGCCCCGGAACCGGAAGCGTGACGTTGCACTTCCGGTCAACGAGGCGCCGCTTCCGGTCGACCCCTTGAGCGCGCGGGTGTGGGGAGGGCGCTTTTGCCTTCGTCCTTGTTTCGAGGGGGGTTTTTTCGTAGCACCTCGGTTCGGGGAGGCCGCGGGGCAGAAGCTCCGCCATGGAGGACCCGGAGAGGGAGGCCGACGTCTCGGAGCTGCAGCGCCTGGTGGCCGTCGAGGAGCAGCGCGCCCGCCTCGCCGCTCAGGTACATGCCGCGAGATACGTGTGCGTGTGCATGGAGGTACAACAACCGTGCGAGATCGGCTAGGTTGAAATAGGAGGAGTGGCTGGCTGAGTGGGGCGGGGGCTTGAACCTGGCCTCTTCTCCATGGAACACCCCGCCTTACCGTCTTACGAACTTTTTTGTCTCGTCTGAACCCACATGCGTGTCCACGACTCAGACCTAATTGTAATTCCCTCTCCCCTCATTCCTGCGGGTCTGACAGATGCCTAGTAGCACGCCCCTTTACCCCACCCCGCTCCTTTCTAAGGCCCTTTCTGAGCTCTTCTCCCCTTCCTTTTTGGGGGGAAACCAGGGACTAGGGACCTTCTTGAGCCCCAGGGCCATGTTCCCTCTGGGAAAGTTTCTGGGATCTTCTTACCAGTGTGGCACCATAACTTTGCACGGTAGCGTTTGCCTTGCAGCCATACAAAAGCCAGAGGTTTCTGCACACACCCCTTTCTATCCAGGCAAGTGAAAGACATTGCCCCAGTTCAAGGACACCTTCTGGCCCAGGAAAGAAGCACTTAAGCAGGGCCTTGTAGGGTCCAAAGGGCCAGAGAGAGTCCTGGAGAACCCTCAGACTTGAGGTTTACCATGCCTGCCCTCCAAACAGCACTTATTTACTATACCTGCTTCCATTAAGAGAATCCAGACTGGATCCACCCTCCTGTTAAGAAACCTGAGCTATAGTTTACTTTACAGTATTATTTTGCCTAGAAGGCTTTAAAGGTGGCTGGGCTTTCTGAAATGGCTGCACCTGCCTTATACCCTTTCTTTGCCCAGACCTTCTGCCCCTTCTTATACCTTAAACCTCCTCCCCAGAATTCATTCGGAGGGTGGGATCTGCTAGAATTGCAACCCCTTCTCACAAATACTACTTTTGAGGCATGCGAGATTGGGAAGCATCATTAAATTCAGTGGGATTAGCTTCTGAGTAGATAGGCATATGGGACGCGGGTGGCGCTGTGGGTAAAAGCCTCAGCGCCTAGGGCTTGCCGATCGAAAGGTCGGCAGTTCGAATCCCCGCGGTGGGGTGCGCTCCCGCTGCTCGGTCCCAGCGCCTGCCAACCTAGCAGTTCGAAAGCACCCCCGGGTGCAAGTAGATAAATAGGGACCGCTTACCAGCGGGAAGGTAAACGGCGTTCCGTGTGCTGCACTGGCTCACCAGATGCAGCTTTGTCACGCTGGCCACGTGACCCGGAAGTGTCTCCGGACAGCGCTGGCCCCCGGCCTCTTGAGTGAGATGGGCGCACAACCCCAGAGTCTGTCAAGACTGGCCCGTACGGGCAGGGGTACCTTTACCTTTTTAGATAGGCATAGGACTGGGCTGTTGGAACATAGCCTCATGCTGCACCACTGTGGCAAAGACAGTTCCTCCCAGATGTGTGTTTGGGGTGGGGAGTGATCTCCTACAGCTTCGCTTCAGCTCTGCTGTGAGAAATAGAGGAGTGATTTTTTTTAGCCCAGATGCTTCTAAATGGCCAGTTCCAGGCTTCTCTGCCAGATATCTCAGTTTCTCACACCAAAAGTTCCCCACAAGAATGTAGGAAGCTATATTATACCAAGTTAGACTATTTGTCTATCTAGCCCTGTATTGTCCACTCAGATTGACAGCAGCTCTCCAGGGCCCTACCTCTTCTTTTCCACTGGAAAAGAATTGAACACGGGACATTTTCCATAGAGCATAAACTATACCACTGACCCATACTCAAGAAATGATAAACAGAGCTTTGAAGAGTATGCACCTCCATTATTATTACAGTGGTACCTTGGTTCTCAAACTTAATCCATTAGACTCCCGAAATAGTTCGAAAACCAAGGCGCAGCTCCCAATTGGCTGCAGGAGCCTCCTGCACTCAATTGGAAACCGCAGAAGCTGCATCAGACGTTCAGCTTCCAAAAAATATTTCCAAACCGGAACACTCACTTCTGGGTTTGTGGCATTTGGGAGCTGATTTGTTTGGGAGCCAAGCCGTTCAAGTACCAAGGTACCACTATGTTATTATAATTATTATTATTAGGGGGGGGGAGGAATGGGACTCATTGATCCTTGGTTGTTGTGATTTCTGTAGCTTTGGGGTATGAGTGTTGTTGTCCTCAATGTTACTAGCTACATGTGTACATGCTGTATGGATGTCATATGTGGGAAATGTGGTTTTTGTACACAGATCCTGGAATGTATTTATCAAAGTTGGGAGTGTTTTAGATGTGCTGGTTTTTTGAATATGTGTTAAAGCCTCACTTACTTTACCCACTAAACCCATACTTTTGGAGGGGTGGGTTTTGGGGGTTTTTTTAGATGGGCAAGACAAGAAGGGCCTATGCCACACATCACCCAAACAGCCAGATTCACTTTCTGAGGGTGTGAGTCTCCCCTGCAGCTATGTTGTGCCATCAAAGGCTCAGCACGACTGCAGGGACATCTGCTACATGTACACCAAGCTGGAGAAGGAAATGGGGTCTCTTGTTACCTTTTGCAGAGGGCAATGGAAACTTGCCATGTTGAAGGGTTGTGAGTGGAATTGAAAGAGGCTGATCCTGATGGGGAGTGCTGTTAATTCTCATCTCTCTCTGCCACTCCCTCCTCTAGGTTCACAACTTTATGGAGGTCTGCTGGGAAAAATGTGTTGACAAGCCAGGTTCCAAGCTGGACTCCAGAACAGAAACTTGCCTCGCCAACTGCGTCAACCGCTTCATAGACACAACACTGTCCATCACCAATCGCTTTGCACAGATAATACAGAAAGGAGGCCACTGACTACCGCATGGTGGAGTCCCCTTTGGTCAACGGACTTAACAAGATCCAGGTCTTTCACTGGACCCCTACTCTGTCAGTTGTTCTACCTCAGTGCAGCAATGCTTGAAGAGCCATTTGTACATGACTGTTCATGCCTAAGTGGCATTAGACTGGGTCACGTAGAACAAAATCTTTGCTCCTTTCAAGCTAATAAATCAAGACTTGTCTAAACAAATTGACTCTGTAGCAAAAAGTTAACTGCTTTGCTTTCTTCCTAATGCAGGATAATAGGGATAACATGTACCCTCACACTAAATAGCATGCTCTTAAAATTCTCTCTCAAAGGTAGAAATGTTTTCAGGAAATCTTAGGAAAAAATGGGGAGGGGGGAGCAATTGTAAACTCATTGCCGGAGGAGCTGTCTTCTTTTGTCCCCATTTATTAGCCTCTTTGAGGGATCTTATAGCTCACATAGGCTCTCTTGTGTACTCTTTCCTCCTCCATTTGATGTGAAAAGAAAGTTGCTTTCCGGCTCAAAACTAATTTGTACAGTAGTTACTGCTGCTGATAATGATTGCAGTCAAAATCAATTCAGCCCTCCCATTCTCTATTTTGGAGTTTATACTGCTTCAGTTTCATTCTCCGAGCATGCCAATTTGTATCAAAGCACATTTCTTAATGAATACCTGTGAACCTGGTCAGCATATTTTATCCCTGCAAAACACATGTTCTGCCATTTGAGGAAAGAGCTGCTTTCAAACAGAGCTTTCTAGATCTGTGCCAGAGTGCTGATTGCAAGTTCTGCAAATGTAACTTAGGATTTCCTGGCTTGCACTTAAAGGCCAGTAACAGGTATAGATCCTTCACTCTGCCATCCTCCCTCCCGAATTTGGAATTCCATTTATAGTGAGTGTGCTGTTCTTCAGATTTATTGTTGAAGCCCACACCTTTCACAATGCCTTTCTGATCTAAGAGTGTCTCGTCTCCCCCACCTCCAAAATAATCAGTGCATGTTCACAATGGTGTATAAAATCTTAAATGCTATTATAAAGACTCTTCATTTTGACTGCCGTTGGGTGAAACCAACATCGTTTGTTATTGCGGACTATCTGAATTTATTCATGCTGATACCTTGCACATATTAAAAAATAATTGTTTTTGTCAAAATAACTTGAGTTGCTTTGCTTTTTACAGCAACACATTAGAATTACTTTCAAAAATAAGCTTTGTGCACTGGTACCACAATGTAGGACAGAACAATGTGGCATTCTGTTCACTATTCCCCAGATATGGGGTGATGGCAGGCAATTGTATTTGTGCAGGGAGGCCAGGCAGAGGGGAAAAGATCAAGGGGCTGATAAAAGAGGATGTTACTGTGAGAAGATAAGATGTGACCATTAAGGATAAGGAAAGAGGGGAAAGGTCCAAAACCCTTTACTCTAACCAGCCTGTTAATCCTGTGTGTCTTGAGTTTACAATGGCCCACTTTAAGAAAAAGGAGGGAATGATGAATTACCTACACTACAAACTTAGTAGTTTTATAAGTACTTTAATAGTCATGGTTTCCCCAGAGGCATGGTGGGAATTTCAGTGGGAAATTGGTGAGGATGCAAAGAAGCCACTAATGTATAGCCCCAGTCCTCCTTACAGGGTCTGGGTAAGAGGGAATCAATGTTTGGTTTATGGTGTAGAGACTACCTCTTGACAGCATAAGATGCAGGGCAGAGGTAACTACTACCAAGTTCTTTCTTCAGTGTGCATCTTTGCAGCCTCCAAGCTGTGGAATGAGCTAAGCCAGCCTTCCAGCAAACTACTGAAACTCTTCTGCTGGCTCCTATCAATCATAGAAGGCATGTGGATCTGGAGGAGGGAGTTACATGAAAGTCGAGCCACATCTGACTAGTTACACCTGGGATGGGACATCTCTGACCCTTCAGATGCTGCTGGTCTCCCATCAACCTGAGAAACCACTTCTCTTGTTAAGTAAAAACAGGAACTCTCTCTCCATCTGCTCTGTCATTCCTGACTGGTAGCGAGATATATTTTTTTCCAGCAAGAGCTGGCAAAACCAAAGCTTGGACACACACCAGCAAAGCTGACAACCAGTTTACAAGAAGGAATAGGATATGGCATTAAGCATACTCTTCCAGGGGGTGGGATGCTTATAACCTCCATTTGACCAAAAAACAGCTAGCAGAGGCGGCTTACTTTAAATCTCACTGTGGCTTTTGTTTGGATAGTTGTCTCTGACCCCCAGTAGATCCTATTTGAACCTAGGGCGGCCACGTGCCCTGTGCTGTTCTCCACTTAGCCTTTGGACCTGATGACACATCTTGTATGCCACCACCCGATCAACCTTGCAAATAAGATGGGTACATGCGAAACACAGGCTGGCAACCTGAGGAGCTTCTGATCTCCTTCATTGTTTATTGCAATTAAATGTTAGGTATTGGCCATCAAAAATAGTTTTTAGATTTTCAAAAAAGGCAAAGGGGACCCAAGGTCAGTTCCGTTCTATGCAGACTCCAATAGTACCTCTTCTGTGAGTTAAGTTTCCGTATTGTCACAAACTCAAGTTTGAACCTGGGCTGGACAAACGAGCCTTGGGCTGGGAGCTTCTCATTTCCTGACCAGTTTCTGACCTACATGAAACTGAAAGAAGCCCCCTGCAGGTAACTGAGGTTTGCGGCGTCTGGATCATAAAGCTGTTGCCAGACTACTTTTGTTCCAAGGGGACAGCACTTAGGAGACCAATCTCCCAGAATGTCAGTGCCCCTGCCCTGCCCCACGAAAAGCACCGACTGTGTTGGTCCCTTTCACCTAGTCCTCATCAGAACTGTCCTCTGAATTCTCATCAGCAGCCACTTTCCAGTTCTTCCTCTTACTGCGCTTCTCCTGCACCCTTTCAGCACACCGTTCTGAGAGAGACACGTGGCGTTTCCGTCTCTTTTTCTTTGGCTGCTTCTCCTGCTTTTTATCTGGCTCACTGTCCTCAGAACTGCTGGAGGGGCAGCTGCTGGCCTTGCTGGAGTCACTGTCTTGCCCTGAGGAAGAAGAGGGGGCTGCCTTTGCAGAGTTCTTCTTGGCCTTTTTGTGACGCTTCCGCTTTCTCTTGCCAGCGCGCCTCTCCGACGAGTCAGACTCCTGGGAAGAATCTGCCGTGGCACTTGGCTGCTCCTGTTTCTTCATCTTCCGCTTCTTATGAGATTTCTTTTTCCGCTTCTTCTTGTGCGACTTTTTGGCTTTTTTCCTTTTGGGCAACTCAAGGGAAGACTGTGTGCCTGGCTGAGACTTCCTTTTTCCGTTCACAGAGTTTTGTTCATCTCGCTCTCGGTCACTGCAACACAGCCAAGAGGACAAAAGTTTAAGGCATGATATTGAAGAAGAATCAACAATGTTCTAAAGTGGAGGTGGCTTTTTCCCCCCCGCTCTAAGGATGCGTTTTCATCCTTGGTCAACCCTCCACAAGGGCTGTGTGCTAACTGGGAGGTATGATTACCCATGCATAGAACACAGTCTGGGATACAGAAGTCCATGCATTTAAGACAGATTTCTGCAGGAACTAAATTTCACCTGGAATAAGAGGTATAACACTGAAAATACACACCTTACTTGTTTTGTAATGGAAATAAGGAACCATCTCAGTTTGGACACAGTTTAGTTTTTGCATTTTATTTAAAATGAAAAGTTATACAAAAATTAAAACATGTCCACAAGGCTCATGCGCACACCATGTCTCCTCTAGAATAGCCGTAAGTCAATCAGCATCTGCTTTTAAAGTGAGAAGACGACTCCAGCTCCCATCAGCCCCAGCCTGCAGAGCTGATTTGTCAGGGATTATGGAAATTGGAGTCAAACAACATAGGTTCCCCACCATCAACGGTTTAAACTAACCAGAGTTCCTTGTTATATCCAAACTTGGGAGAACCAGCCCCAAACACATACTACAGTTTCATCCTGGCTTGTGTGAACAAACCAGAGTTTAACCAGAGTTTTCTGAAGTTAGGATGTAATGGGAGTTCAGCTTAGTTTAGAAGCAGAGGTTTCTGAAATCCTCACACCTGTGCCAGAGGGAGGGAAGGAAGGAGAATGTGCATTTGAGGTTTGTACAGGCAACTTTGAGCCAGAGATTAGTGTGAAGTCTAAAAAGGTCAAACATACTTCCCCACCACCACCCTTTTTACAAGCAACCTTATTGGCTTTACCTGTCTGTATCGAATTCTTCTGGATACAGCTCTTTGTAGCCACTGTGGCCCCACCTGCAAAAGAACACCATGCTGTCTTAAGAGGTTCACAAACATACAAGCTATGCAACCACAGAGCAAAGTGACACAGGCAGCAAAAATCACATGATGCAACCTTTGTTGGACTGCACCACTTCCGGCTGCAGGCCATGGGATGGAGGGAATTGTACCCTTTAGTGCTGCAGTGCCTCAATCTACAATGTGCTTTGCAGATTCAAAAGAGAAGAGAAATTGTCACTAAGATATTCCTCCAACTTTAGGATTCCCCCAATTGGCGGGAGGTCTAAAATATGTCCTCTCTCATAACCTTGCCTCACCCCTGTCAAACAAAATCTAGAAAGCAAAATACCTTGGGGGCAGAGGTCTGTCACCTGAACTCATTTTTTTCTTGGGAAAGCACCACATGCACGAATGGACTTCTTATCAACGACATCGGTAAACATTCAGACCTGTCTGGCATGTTTGCTTCACATTCGTAGAGCTTCTTGTTCCAGTAGCGGGCATGCCGGAGGTCGTCTTCCATCTCTACTGACACAGGAGCCAAGTTCCTCGCCTTCCAATTGGCCTGCTGGGTCTCTTCATCAAACCCATCGCTACGCATCCGGCTGCTGCAGACGAAAGACAGCAGGCTTTGTACATTTTGAAAGGTAAAAAGGCAAGCCATGAAAAGAGGCTAAAAAGAAGGTCCTTCAGAAGTTCAGAACGAGCTCCCCAAACAATATGGGAAGCTGCCTGATACCAAGTTCACCCCATTGGTCCATCTAATTCAGTATTGTCTACTTTGACTGGGAGCAGTTCTCCAGGGTTTCAGGCAGGGGACTTTTTTCCAGCACTACCTGGTAATGCCAGGGATTGAACCAGAGACAACCTGCATGCAAGTCATGTATTCTACGGTACGCCCCTCAGTTTCTTAGCCTGGTTGCCCTATAAACACTTAGCTGGGTTTGGGTTTGTCAGGGTGCATTGAGAGAAATGTCCCACTAGTGCTAAGTTTCCTGGAGACAGTGCTGTAGTAAAGAAAGTGTCAGTTTGCATTTCTTGGTACAGAAAGTATTGACCTGACGTGTAGAGATCTTTCCTATTCTAATAGAAGTTCTAGCTGGCAAATAAATTTCTATTCCGCCTAGAAACAAACAGAAGGTTCATAATGTTTGAATTATTCCTTCAGAGCTGAGAAGCTGGCTTAAACTGGTTCTATTATCTCTTTATGTAAAGGTCATGCTGACTATAATAATAAGGAGCCTGGGCTTCACTTTCTATCTCTCTTTCCTTCTGGTGTGGTGTTCTGTATATAGTATGCTTAGTGTTAAGGTTTTCATCTTATTATGTTATTGTAAGTTTAAGTTAAGTCTGTTGCAACTCAATTTCTTATGGACAGTGCCAATCCTGAATGTATTGGATTTTTGAACATTATGATCATTTGCTTTCAGTAGCAGTAAAGCTCTGCTAGATGAAATATCACCGTATTTTTCCCTCTATAAGACGCACCCGACCATAAGACGCACCTAGTTTTAGAGGAGGAGAACAAGGAAAAAAATATTCTCTCCCTCTCTGCTCAGCAACTCTCCCATTTCTCCTCCTGCTTCGCTGAAGGGGCGCTGCGCAGAGGGAAAGCTGTGCAGCGCCTCTCCAGCGAAGCGAAGCCAGGAAAGCACCGATCCCTCTTGCTCTCCTGGCTTCAGCGAAAGCAACGCAGCCTGCATTCACTCCATAAGACGCACACCCATTTCCCCTTACTTTTTAGGAGGGGAAAAGTGTGTCTTATAGAGCGAAAAATACGGCAATTGCTTCTGGTCTATTTTGGGGGAGAATCCTGCAACGTATTTTAAGTTTTTACTCTGCTAACTATACGTTAGAATCTGCTCTGGATCGATATGAGTAGAATTCTTGACAGAAAGATTGTACACTTTCTCCCTGATATGAAGTTCATAAAGGATATTCCTTGGCAAGATAGCTCAGTTGGTTAGAGTGTGGTGCTGATAACGCCAAGGTTGCAGGTTCAATCCCCGTATGAGACAGCTGCTCTTCATTCCAGGGGGTTGAATTAGATGATCCTCAGAGTCCCTTCCAACTCTACAATACTATGATTCTAAAAGTGGCCAATTTATGCTAAGATAGAACTTCTCTGCTGTCCTTCCTTGGCACTAACTCCTTCAATCACAGATGGGGAACCTGTGGCTCTCCAGGTGTTGTTAGAGTCCATCTCCCACCAGTCCCAGGCAGCCAGGCCAATGGACAGGGATAACAGAAATGGTAATCGCAACAGCAATCTGAAAAGGGCCAGAAATACCCCATTCCTGCTTTATAAGCTCTGGTTTTAAGAGAAGCCCAGTCCCTCCCTTCTCTATGCTTCTGCTGGGGTCAGGCTGCCAGACCTTTCCCTTCCTGCCATAACATCAGTTGGTGGGGGACAGGAAGGGGAGGGTGCGGATAAGCTTCTCCTTACTCCCAAACCTTGACTGAAACAAGCACAGACTTCTGATCAGGGTGAAGAGCCACAAAGTAGTTGGTGGTGCTGGAGGTTTGCTGCAATAGATGCAGCACTGGCAACACTGCAAAGCAGAAACGTCACTTGTTGACACATTTAAGTCCCACCTGGAACAATCAGGAAGCAGTCTCTTTTCCTTGCCCCACTGAATGTCTTTGTTCTGCTTTTCCATTTCCCGAATTTTCCACATTTCCGACTCTTCTTGAATCTGAGGTACATAAAGAAATATATCAATTTAAGGAAGTACTCACCAAATTGCTGCATTTCTACAGGAATGACCCCATTGGTAGGAGGAGGAACTACCAGCAATGCACTCCCCCAACTAGGCTCTTATTGTCAGGTCAGAGGAGAAGTCTTGACCCCCATTGACAGCTTTTTTTGCCCCCTCTCCCCCAGAAACACCCAGAGGTAAAAATGAGATTGAGCTGTGTCTGTTGTTATTTAAATTTGTATACTGCCCTCTACCCACAGGTCTCACGGTGGTTCACAGGACTAGCGCAGTTTCTAGGGCTAGCATAGTTTAATTGCTGTTTTTAGTGGCACTTCAGGGACTGCGAAGCCTACATATCCTTTCTGAAGGCCATGGATCCTACTGAGAGTTGGAGCTCTGACATCAGTTGGACCAGGGCCACAGAAGCTGCTGCAGTGAAATGGAGGGGGAATCTGACACCAGCACTCCCTCCACCCTCAAAGATGGAGCTAGGCTATATCCTACATCCCAAGAGATGTTTTGGGCTACAAAACACACTTCTCAATACCTTGTTATGTGCATCAGTATGACGGATGACATTTCGCAGGAGGACTTTCCCCAAGGGGACACGGGACATCCTTTAACCTAAAGCAGACAATAAACAAAACACAGTATAAGTAATGAATGACAAGTATATAATATACCTTCTCAGAACTCTGAAAACCTCCTCAATGGCTGTTTATAACAGAACCTCATCACAGACATGGTAACTGCTGATGCAGTTAAGAGTGATTGCAGGGAGGTTTTTTTCCCTTATGCAGAACCTTCTGGGGGCCTCATCCCAGTCATGAACCAGGTCAGAGGCAAAGATGAGCAAAGTAATGAATATGACTGTCAATTTTGTACAAGAGGCTGCATTTCACCCACATAAAATCCATGCATTTACAGTGAGGGGGGGAAAGTATTTGATCCCCTGCTAAATTTGCCCGTTTGTCCTCTGACGAAGAAATGCCCAGTCCATAATTTTAATAGTAGGTTTATTGTGGCTGTGAGAGACAGAATAACAACAGGAAAACCCCAAGAAGACAAAAGTCAGAGATTGATGTGCATTATAATGAGTGAAATAAGTATTTGATCCCCTATCAACCAGCCAGATGTCTGAGATTAGAAGCACCTGCTGTAAGGGAGAGGTCTTGCCTGTAATCCCAACTCATTACAGTACCTGTACAAAAGACAACTGTCGACAGAAGCAATCAATCCAGCAGATTCCAAATAAAGACATATTTCTCTTCCCTAGGAACTCCTTATACCAATGTAATTTCTCAAGCTTCCAGGAACCTACTTGTGTCAAATGCAACAGCTAGCAATTTGGAGGTAGGTGGTGGAGAGAAAGGTGGCTATATATTTAGAATAAATTGTGCATTTGATAACAAAATGCAAATAAGAGCAAGGGTTATGAAGCTGGTTCTTTGAATCCATTGCATGGCATTTTTTTTTAGCAAGGGACCACTGGGGTTGACCACTCTCCTCACATGCTTTGGGAGCACTTCTGTCCTCTGAAATGCTCCTGGGTACAGTCGCGTAGCGTGGGGGGTGCAGGGGGGCCCGGCCGCACCGGGCGCAACATCTGGGGTTAGGGCAAATCCACAGGTTAGGGGGCGCAAATCCACGGATTAGGGGGCGCAAATTACTTGCCTTGCCCCGGGTGCTGACAACCCACGCTACGCCGCTGCCTGGGTATTCCAGACAACTTGATGCAAATCATTTACCCAATTCTAGAGTCATACCCATAAATCAGAAATGCATAACACCTCCCATTATCCTTGACCGCTGCCCAAGCTGAATATTAGATTATTCAGGACAGAATAAATAATTTTATACATAGCACATAATTAAACCAGGAAATTTACTGCCTCAAGAGACACAATGGCCATCAACTTGGATAAAGAGGAATCGGACAAATTTATGAAGCATCAAAATACAAATAATGCCTACTAGTCATGATAAACATATAGTGTATATGAATAGCAGCTGCTAGGATTCACAAGTGAGACAAGCGCTTTTACGGCTATATACTGCTTTCGGGCTTCCCAAGGCCCATTGGGTTGGTCACTATGAGAACAGGATCCCCTTACGTTCTTATGAATATTAAAAAGTTTTGGAGGCCCCGCCAGTTCCCCAACCCATGCCAAAAACAGCACCCAAGTTTCTTAACAGCTGCAGAGATTTTTCACCCATGATTTGCAACTACAAAAGAAATGGGTCATCATTATTTCAGATTAGTGATTATTACAGATCAACTAACTAGCCCAAAGAAGGATCTGAGCCTGAGGTCGTGCAGGGCGCAGCTGCTGCGATTTTCTTCCAAGTCGACGCTGCTTCCCCAGCTTTGCTAATGGACGCTTGCAAGGCGGGCACGGCGCGCCGCCCAGCCCAGGCGTCATTCAACAGGCCCGGGTTAAAATTCCCGCTCAGGCAGCACGAAGCTCATACTGGGCCAGGCATCGTGTCCGAACCTGGCCTACCTCACGGGGTTGTTGTGAGGACAAAATAGGATGAGCGGAGGGATGGAGGGAGCCACCAATGTCCCCCCCGCCCGCCCCGAGAGACCTGGACAGGAAGAGAATAGAGCGAGCATCCCCCTCACCTAGTTAGCAAGCCTTGCCAGTCCACGAGTCACAGCCGAGCACCCATTCACACGTTCCTTCACCACCCGTGTCCCGAGTTTTCCCTCCTAAGGAAACCTCTTATTTATTCCTTTTTTTCCCCGCTTCCTTCCGGGGACCTCGACCACGCAAGCGGCAGACTCCCGAGCTGATGATTCGTCAGGCCTCGGAACCCGGAAGGCGTGGGGCGAGGAAAGCCGGGGGAAGAGAGAGAGAGAGAGAACGCCTCGTTTCCGCTTCCGGCGGAGGCCACTTTCTCCTTCCGGCGGTTGCTAGGGAGACGGCTTGGGTCTTCGCGGGCGCGCGCGCACCGGCTGGGTAGGTTGCTCGTGGCCTCCGCAAGGGAGTCTCAGCGCAAAAAAACGCAGCACCCAAAATGATTTGTACATTATTAGCTCTCTTGTAGTTGTTGATATTTCTCTGGCATCCCTTTTTTTTACACGTGTAAGATTCTTCGGCTTGCAAGTAAGCCCCGTTTATTAAGTCAGCGGGATTTACTCTTGAGTAGTCACGGCCACGAATCAGGGCCGCTCGCTCGTTTTTCTCCTGGGTAGCGGGGAAACAAGTGCGTGTTTGGCACCTGAAACAGGCACCCAACAATATTTATAGCCCAATCATGTGTAGGTTCTACTGTGAAGTCGGTGCCCGATTTAAATTGAATTCTCAGGTCGTTGGATATAGGATTGCAGCCTTATGAGAGCAATCATTTGCATGTCTGCTCAGGAAAACGTTCCGTTGTGTTCTGTAATATGTGGAAGTCTTAGCCTTTTTATACTGCTTTTCGAAGTTTCAATCCTGGGCATGTCTATTCAGAAGCAAATCAGATTGAATGTGGTAGGTGTATACTGGATCGAGGCCTCATGGGCACTACCTCAGTCACTCTTACATTTAATGAAATGGTTTTGGGTGCAGTTTTTAGCTTTGCAGATTTTACTACTGAGTTTTTATTGCTTTACATTTTGGAACTTGCCCTGCAAAGGTATAAATATATAAAATAAAACAAACAGCCCTACGAAGTAGGCCAGTATAATTTACCCCTTATGACAGGGGGTGCAGAGAGAGAACAGGTTTGCTTAAAGCCATTTACAGAACAATCCCATGAATGTTTACTCAGATGTTGTTCTACTGTGTTTGATGGGGTTTGATTCCAAGGCATGTTCAGATAGGATTGCAGTCATAGGAAGCGTGTAGCATAGAATATCTAAACTTGGAACTTCCCTTTTTAGCTACTTTGTCACATCATCTTTAAACAGGCGCAGCTTTGTTAATCACATTGGCTTGGAAAAGCTGCACCTGTTGCATTCATGCCTGCCAAGCAACTGTTTTAAAGTAGCTTTCCCCAAGTTACCGGTAGTGTTTTCCTGATGCCTTGGATTACAAATCCCATCTGCCCCAGCCTTCCTGTAGCCCCAAATCTCTGGAGAGCCCTGTGTTGGAGTAAGAGATCCTGCCACCACACAAGCCAGCAAGGCAAGTCCTGTAGGACTAGCTCATTGATTTTCCCAGGTTTTTTAGAGAAGGAATGGAGGCTAGTGTTGAAAGAGGGAGTTTTAGGAACTCTCCAAGGACAGCCACAATGAATTTCTCCCCGTATAGATTTTACCGCAAGACAAAAGAGCACAGTAAGGCCCTGGAAGCACTTGCTGAACTTCACAGTTCTCTTCCCACAGTCTTCTCTGACTCTCTTCTTGTTTTGCTGTAGCCGCTCACTGTTGAAGAGACAATCATGGAGGCTCTTTGTAACTCTGAGGATATGCTGGCAAAAGTGAACCAACTCTGGACGATGCTTGATGACTTGGCTGAGAGCAATCCTGAAAGTTACCACCAGTTCATGCAGCAGCAACTCAAAGACGCAAAGCAACATTATGCTCCTGCAGAACCATACATGTGCCTGAAGACCTGCATCTTGGTATGTTGCAAGACACCTGCACAGCAAGAAGGAAGCTCAGACATCAAAATGTGCCTCCATTTTCACCAAACCTTTACTCAACTAGCCAGGCAGATACAATAGGCATGTGTGCACTTGATTTGCATTCTATATTTGTTGTATTGCTTCTCCCTACTATTTATTTCTTATTTATTTAGAATAGAAAACAAGATGGATGGAAGGTAACAGGTGCAATTATCTTTTCAGTTAATCCAAAAATGCTGGACCGTATCCAGGACCAGAAATACCAGAGAATGCAAACCAGAGTTTGACCGTGTTCCTATTCTAGTTCATGCCTGCATGATGTAGTAATAAACCATCCTCCTTTATTAACTAACTGGTTTTGGATTCTTTTTCCAGGAGCCTACTGAAAAATCATTGTTCGTTAACCTCTGCAGGTGGAATCAGGTTCCAGCACCCCAATCGCCATCTGACCCAGTGCCATTGAGGGCTGGCAAAATGGAGGAGATATCTGAGAAATCAGGTCAGCTTTGCTCCTTGCAGAAGGTTTAGCTTGCTGTGTAGAACAGTGCTCATTTCTATAGGTCTGTTTTAGCCCCTTATATCCCAGCCCATTTTCTCTCTCCAAATGGGTGGGGTGAAGATGACAGGAATGTACATTATAAACCAATAAGCCTTAGCTGAAAGAGTAGGAAAGTAACAGCCAAAAGAGCAAAATTAAGTGTAATCTCACAATTTGACAACTGTTTTTTTTAAAAAAAACCACAATTTTATATACCCCCATTGTCTTCTACAATATAATGTATATGATAAAACAATAATTAGACTTTTTTTCTTCTAGAGTTTTATACTGTCCTTGATATTGCATACAACCAATCTGTTATCGAGAAGGGAAAGGATGACCCAAAAATGAAGGACCAATTGATACGTCTATCACTTAAGTATATTGAGGAGCAATATAACATCATTCTGTCAAACTCCTATACTATTACAAAATTTAAACTGAAAGGAAGCCTGGCAAGGATGAGACAGAGCTTAAGGAGAGGGCAAGCACCAGCAGCTTTGTCCCAGAAGACCTTGCAAAAAGGTAAGTAGCCTCCCAAGTCATTATCAGGAGTGAAACATGATTGGGTATGATGAAACTTCTCACACCACTCTTTAGGATGCAAGTTATAACCCACGTTAAGAGGCACTTGCAGAAGCGTGCTTGGTTTCAGCATGCCTCAGTAGATTCTTGTTTTATGAATTAAGATGAACAGTAGGACCTGAAATATTTTATCAATTGTAAAAAGGAGAGATCAAATACTTATTTCGCTCAGTATAACGCACGTCAGTCTCTGACTTTTGTCTTCTGGGTTTCTGGGAGTTTTCCTGTTGTTATTCTGTCTCTCACAGCTACAATAAACCTACCATTAAATTTATGTACTGGTCATTTCTTCGTCAGAGGGCAAACGGGCAAATTTAGCAGGGGATCAAATACTTTCCCCCCCTCACTGTAGAACATATAACTGATACTTCTATAGCTATGTGATCCATTAAAGTATTTTTTAAATTCCCATGTCTAAAAATCACCTTGGAAAGAAGTGACACTTGACCAACTGAGAAACATCATAACAAAGGAAGATAGCAGTGACCTTACTTTGCTAATGGAGAACACGGTGCCCTCTAAAACATGCCTCATTGAAGAGATTTCCACTACAGAGCAGCCAGAGGAATTGTGCACCCCGGCCTATGAAGTCACCATCATAAAGGATATGAATGAGAAGCCTCTGAAGATTGAACTGAAAGTTGAATTGCCAGAGGTACACTGTGTCTCTGAGTGTGACCTAAGCGTTTCTGAGGTAAGTTTGTCATGAATGACACTCAACTCTGGCTGCCCTTCGGACAGCCCTATGTCCATCTGGCATGGCTCACCTGTAGCAATCACATGTATGTACTTCATTTACAAAGAAACTTCTTTTTCGATTTTAGGATGATGTATTGATTGAATGCCCTGCAAAGTATAAATTACACTTGGATCTTCCACAGTCTGTGAATGAAGAAGCAACAACAGCAGCATTTCACAGCCAGAAGAGAGTCTTACTTATCACAATGCCGGTGTCTGAAAAGAAGTGATGTTAGCAGATTTGACACGGCATGTGGGCTTGGGGGTTTGGGTACTGCCCACTCAGCACTTCCAAACACTTTGCATAGGTTAATATTAAAGTCTACTGGCTGCTTGCCTGCATTTCACACATTGGATCATTAGAGCAGGCATCCCAGCTGCCCTTTGGACAGATGCAGAGCTGAGTAATACTAACTGGAGATAAGATATGTTTCTAAGTACAGAACTGAAACTCAACTCTAATGGAGAATGTTCCAATGCTTACTTTAAATGTTTTCTTATCAGTCATGGAGTTTCTACTGTATTGTGCAAACTGTAACGGCTCAACAACTACATGAAAATCTTATAAAAGCACTTGTAAAATTTACATTTTCATTGATCCCTCAATTAACAATCAATAAAAGATAACACATTCAACCACTTACAGTGGTGTCTGGGTTTGAACTGTGTCCCAACACCTATTCACAAGAACTCAGCTCAAGGGTGTAAACTTAAATACACTACAAGTTTTTCCATGGCACTATTTAAAGACCATGTGGTTGATGGGAGATACATTTTGAACACAGGACAAACAGGACTTAGCTTACCAGTTGTGGCTTTCTTGAATCTAAAAGGTTAGATTACTCTTTGTAACTGAAGCAGAAATTCCTGGCTCAAAGGCTGTCCATACTGTTTCTCAGCTACAGCAGCAGCAAATATACTAGAATTGTGGAGTTGTGGAATTGGAAGGGGCCACAAGGGTCATTTATTCCAATTCCCTGCAATGCAGGAATCTTTCACCCAACATGGGACTCAAACCCACAACCCTGGAATTAAAAGTCTTATGCTCTACAGACTGAGCTTGTCAACCTCATCCCATAGCATCAAAGAAGAAGAAAAATAGAAGCTAGCCATTCCCTACTTATAAAATAGTAAAATAAAATAAAAACAGTAAAATAAAAACGTCAAGTTTTGGATTATTACAACGAAACAAACACAAAAGTTTCAAGGCTTTAGTTAAGTTAGATTCTAAAAATAACTGAAGAACATTTAGAGCAGCTACGGAGTTAGTAGGCACAAGCTATCCATACTTCAAGTGACAAATCTCTTGTGACTCCCAGCCCCTGAGTGGCACAAGTTAAGAGTCATGTTTCACTGATTCAAATAGTGAGGCAAGCTCAGCAATCCTCCTTACCAGTAGGGTCAGTTCCACACATACCATAATACCCTCAGCAAACAATGAAGCACCAGGGACAAGGAAAAGCCATCTAATAAATTTTAAACATTTAATGGAACACAACTGGCCTAACTGGCCAGACGGGAACTGAGTTAGGACGTTTTAAGTGCAACTTGCTTCTTACCAAAACAGTAAAAGATTTTATGCAAAACAGCAACTAAATTAACAAAATATTAGATGGGTCTCAGAAAAATATTTAATCTCCACAGTATAACCACCTTGAATATTCTTTTAGTGGATTTGGTAGCACAACTTTACAATACTTAATGCAATGCATATCGTACAGAATAATTTTGGGTATATTTATTAATGGTATACTTGGCTCTCCAGGTCACTCACTTGGCTATTACATGATCCTCCTTTGTAAATTAACATTTTCTTTGGAAAGCAAACATGGGAGTGTTTTCCACTAGAGAATCCTTCCCTTTGTGGACACAATCTTAAATGCAAATGGGCACAATTTCAAAAGAAAACCATTCCAAGCAATTTAAATTTTTACACTATTTACATGACCAAATAAATTCTGCCACTTCCCCAAGGCTGGGATTGGCAAAAGACAAAGTTGTTACAGAAGTGACCCCTATTCAGAGAAATATAGTTGCACCTATTTTGAAATGAATAGGACTTCAATAGTCACGACTAACCTGTACCATTGATTTCAATGGAACTTAAGCAAAACTCATTTACTCTGAATTATGGCCAGTGGTCACAAGCCACTCAGGTTATCTTTTCTGCACAATCTTTTTTTATATGAAGGAAGACAGTGACCTCACATTCATTTCAATGACAGGACAAGTCCCATTTGGATTGCACCTAGTCCCAACACCTCTCAGAGCTTCCTAGGGTCAACAATGTGGAAGGGGGGAGGGAACCCTAAAGTCAGCATCCAGATGTTCAGACCACATTGGTTTATGTTTATCAGCCCCTAATGAATTTCATCATTTCCCTGAACGATGACTCCAGCTTCAAGTGAAGCAGCATTCACTAAACTAGAGGGGGGGAAGCAGTCTCTTAAAATGAAAGATTTAATGCCAAAAAAGATGGAAAGTTCATAAAATGCACTAGAAAGAACATATATGGTCAGCATTATTTCAAAAAAGAAATGTCGCCATACAATGTGGGGAGTCTGATTGGAGTTCTTGAGTTAAAGTGCTCTCACAGAATTCATGTGGCTACAAAATCTGAGTAACTGCTGAACTCTAGAAAAAAAGCTGGCATGTGGACCATTAGGGAACCCTGTTCTCTTCCATCCTTCAGGACAGCCTGCTAATCTAAAAGGACAGGAGGAGAGAATGCACAAGCTTCCTGTCTTTGCTGGCAAGGGGATTTCAGCCACCAGATAGTTCAACTTATGTTTTTGTTTTTCTTTGCTTTTACAGTCTTGGTTCCTCTGTTTTTTGGGAACACAGAATGAGTCATCAGGTTGCTGGGTGGGCCTGTGTTCCCTTGATCAGAAGCACGAGCTCCTCCACATGATTTCAATCACTTTGGGCTATTTAGGAGGGGGGAAAGTTTGCAAATTCATTTCCCTGTATAAAATACAGTATAACCGAACCAGGCTCCAGAAAGCCTATGCAAACCATTTTAATATGTACAACTGGTAATAAAAATTACCAGCAACCATATATATATATTTAGATAAGATTTTTTTAAAAAATAAAGAAGGGAACATTTGTTTTAAAAGTCTAAACACTAGATATATAAATAGCTTCTTTAGAATGATGTGATGTGACCTAAGAAAGTCCTGGTGGCCTCAAGGGATTATAGCAGCATGGTGGCCGGCTTCTCAAGGAACTTCTTGAACTCGGCCAGCCACTGGGCTCCAACTGCTCCATCCACAACGCGGTGGTCACAGCTAAGCGTGACAGACATCACGCTGGTTACGTCAAATCTGGGGTGGGGGAAAAAGCACATTTCAAATGCTCAGCCTCCTCCATGAACCAATCAATAGGAATGGGGAAAAAAGTTTTTTTTTTAAAGGAATAAAAGCAAAATGCAGTAATTGAAGATTAAGTCAGCAAGGAACAAAGCAGTAACAATGGGGCTGCCTTTGGGGGCACACAGCTTGTGCATAACCAGCATGACCAGCCATTTTTAGTTTTTTCTTCTATACAAATTTTGGACTTTTGGTTTGCACACAAAGTTAAACCATGATTTGAAATAAACTATGGTTTAACATGCACTTTGCACCTGAGTGTACCATGCCCTAGGAGAAACAAGCTAGGTCTAGCTCAGGCATAGGTAAACTCGGCCCTCCAGATGTTTTGGGACTACAATTCCCATCATCCCTGACCACTGGTCCTATTAGCTAGGGATCATGGGAGTTGTAGTCCCAAAACATCTGGAGGGCCGAGTTTGCTTATGCCTGGTCTAGCTTGTTGTGAGATATGAATCCATACATATAAGGAGGCAATTATCATAGAAAAGAAGAAGTTCTAAGGTAAAAAAGTGGTTATAGAAATGCGAGAATTTAATAAAAAGTGTTTGGAAGTCAGAAAGAGGGGCGGAAGGAAGTTGATGCTCTGTTTGAGCAACACTTTATGTTATACATTTGTGTAATGAGATGTAATTAAATATGAAAACTTAATAAAAATTATATTGGGGGGGGAGAGAGATGTGGATCCAGGCTTGTGCTTTGTCTCCTCCAAACCACAAGCAGTGAAGCTAAGAAGAAAACTTGGCTGCCACTTGTGATTTGATAGGAGAGAAATAAAACATGAGCCTGGATTCGTATGTCACAAGAAGTTGGTTTCCTCTACTCCATAGAATGACCAGGAGCACGGGAGAAGCAAAGTGCATGTTAAACCATAGTTCATTTTAAACAATGATTTAACAATGCATGTAAACCAGGCCACACAAATTCCCTTGGGTGCTACCCTATTTAAAGAGGTACTTTAAAAAAAACAAAAAACTTACCCCTTTTCATTATCTGCTGGGACCAGCCTTTTCTCAGAGGCACCAACTGCTAAAATACAAGCCTGTGGTGGATTGATAATCGCAGAGAAATTCTTAATCCCATACATTCCTAAATTTGAGACTGTAAAAGTTCCTCCCTGAAAGGAAATAAATACATTAGCATTCTTTGACAAACTACTGTGTTTGGTATGCTGTCAGCTGTGGAACGTAAAAGGGTAGCTCTGAGAAACTGTTTGCTAAACAACCATCACCACTACAAAACATTTTTCTCATCTCTCAGAAAGCAAATCCAGAGCACAGTCACACCTTTGGAAATCACGCCTGCTCCATGTAGCTTACCTGAAATTCATGCGGCTGTAACTTCCCTTCGCGAGCTTTGGTTGCCAACGTTACAACATCTTTGTTAATGGAAGCCAATCCCTTTATGTGTGCGTTAAATACTATTGGGGTTATAAGCCCTGCTGGAGTACTGACTGCAACGCTTACATCGACTACATGATTCCTGGAAGACAAAAGGGGTGGGGGTCCATCTGTATGAACCTAGCAACTCAAAAGAAATTCAAACTTGAACAGAAATTGGAAGGCACTTTCACAATCCATTATTGGCTGCCTTATACCATAAGCCAACCTCCCCCACCCTGACCCACCCTTTAATTGCACAAAAAGACATCAAGCTGCTGCCTCTCTACTGCTGCATCTCAGTTCCAGCATGCAGTTACGATGGGGCCAACAGTTATGAAATTTACTTGCTAACTTAAAGACTGTACACTTACTGTCTAATGACTGTGTCCAACCAAGAGGAATTTGCTTCAGGCACTTTCATGCAAGCCAGAGCTGAAGCCTTAATTATGAAGTCATTGACAGAAAGCTTAGTGTTCTGCGGCATCTCCTGCAAAGACAAGAGAGACAGAATGGACATATTTGCAAAACTGTTCATCTGCCAGGGTCACCTTAGAAGGCTGAAAAAGGATGAATTCATGCAACCAGGTATTCCACATAATTACAATGACTGTGGAAAGCAGCTATTCAAAGCCAGCTGTTACACAAGGAGTCAGTGAACCTAAGTACAGTGGTACCTCGGGTTAAGAACTTAATTCGTTCCAGAGGTCCATTCTTAACCTGAAACTGTTCTTAACCTGAAGCGCCACCTTAGCTAATGGGTCCTCCCGCTGCTGCCGCGCCGCTGGAGCAAAATTTCTGTTCTCATCCTGAAGCAAAGTTCTTAACCTGAAGCACTATTTCAGGGTTAGCGGAGTCTGTAACCTGAAGCGTATGTAACCCGAGGTACCACTGTATACAGAAGGCAATGCAAGCAAGAGCAGGCTGTCTGTCTAATGCAGACAGGTCAACCAGGCTGAGAAACCCAGAGCATACAACTTGAGTGGTTTCCCCTCTTCCTCCAGTTTACCAACAACACACATCATACTTCTCCTAAGCCTAAGAATTAAAGATCTTTATTCCAATTGAATAAGAAGGTTTATTTCCCCGAGCATTGTGCAACTGTCTCTCATTTCACTTCTAATAATGTAGAGAATAAAACAACACACTGAACTAGCTCTGATACAGTCATCTTTCCCTTATAGTTTACAATCTTTTGTTACATATTCTGTGATCTTGACTGGGAATGCAATGTGGGAAACCAGAAATGCATGTAAATGCGTACACTGCTGGAATATCCATGGATGGTAGGCTGTTTTGTATTATGTTAAAACTTCTACATATGGAAAACTCAAGGAAACATTACATCATTACAGAGCTGCAGTCCCCTACAACATAGGAAGCCACAATATTGTTTTAGGGACTACCTACAATGCCATCACAAATCTTCCCCCACCATAGCAAGTTACCTGGTTGAGCTCTTTTCTTAGCACCAGTATTTCTCCCATGTCTACATCGACTGAGAGATAGTAGTGAGGTATCGTTTGCTTAGACAGCATCAAACGCTGGGCAATCACCTGCAAGTACAGACAGCAGGACAAGAAATTAAGACACAACGTATTCTGCCAAGAGTTGGTGTCATATCCAAGCTTGGTGGCTTTCAGTTGGGTGGAACTGTTTAAATGCGCCACACAGAAGCTTACCCTCCCCAAATGTCAGTCAGGAGTGGCCTCTCTCTTCCTCAAAACACACCTTTCACATGCAGCCTTTAGACTAATTCCTTTATCATCGCCCACAGCCAGAAAAAAGCACACATGCTTTTGCTCCCATTAGCTCCTTATTACCTTGCCCCCCTGCATCTAAAATGTGAACTTCTCAAGGTAGGAATCACCTTTTTTCTACCCTTTTGCTACTCTAAAGCATGGCACACATCTGTACAATACCACCCTTGACATGATGGGAACTCCAAGACTAGCATCTGGAGGCTACGTGTGCTAAAACTCTGTTTCACAAACATCTACTAGCACCTGTTCATAGGAAGCACTTAAGAGGTCAACAAGCCAAGGCTTCACATTTGAATGATGCTCAACAAGAGGCATTGACTGTTAACACACACCCTAAGGCGACAATGGTGGTGCCTTACCTTGCGAATATTGCTGATTGGAATATCCGTGAAGACGCCTGTGGGAAGAGCTGCGGCAGCTGCTGGTGCAGGTGCTGCCAGAGGAGGTGCTTCTGCTGCCCGGGGCTGTGTGCAGAAAGACCTTTTTAGCTACAATGTTTTTTGTGAAGAATATTGTTGGGCTGAGGGCAGAGATGGCTCATGGTTCTTTAAGCTATTCCAACTTAAAGGTAAAGGTACCCCTGCCCGTACGGGCCAGTCGTGTCCGACTCTAGGGTTGTGCACCCATCTCACTTAAGAGGCCGGGGGCCAGCGCTGTCCGGAGACACTTCCGGGTCACGTGGCCAGTGTGACGAAGCTGCTTTGGCAAGCCAGCACCAGCGCAGCACACGGAAACACCGTTTACCTTCCCGCTATAAAGCGGTACCTATTTATCTACTTGCACTTAAGAGTGCTTTCGAACTGCTAGGTGGGCAGGAGCTGGGACTGAAAGACGGGAGCTCACCCCGCCGCGGGGATTCGAACCGCCGACCATGCGATCGGCAAGCCCTAGGCGCTGAGGTTTTACCCACAGCGCCACCCGCGTCCCCCCAACTTAGAGGAGCTTTAAAGTGTTGCCATCACACATATAAAAGAGAACAGCTTCGAGACCCATGCTTCCTTCCCACTACCTTATTTTCTCCAGCCTACAGAACACAGCTTCTAATTCCTATGCTTGTGCCATCAACCTAATTTACAGTCCATTTCTGTTTATGAAAGCAAAATTTCCATCAGAAGGGGCTCAGTGTGCTTGGTGGGAAAGGTCAAAAAAGGAGTGTTAAAGGCGTTGGGGAAGTGGTGAGGAAGTTGTACGCAGGTGTATCCATGCATACTGTACCAACAATGCACAACCTACAATAGCGATCAGAAATATTTGAAGAATTTATCAGTACATAATTCCATGTATCTACATTTAGAAAGTCAGATGAAATACTACATTAGCATCACATTTCTCAAGAAGCATCTCTAAGAGAATGCCAAATTGGCACAGGAGGTGCAAACAGTTCTGGACTTTAAAAACAAAAAGCACCTGGGCATAGAACCCATTGACCAGTTGGCATACTGAGGGACAGACCCCTGGAACGTGCTGCAAGCCATTTTCTCACATCCCAGGGCTGAAACATCAGCACTCAGGTCAAGTTCTGAGGGAAAGCCCCACTTAAAATAATACATTGGAGGTAGTCTTCAGTAAAGGTTTAGCCTTGTCAGATATATAACTTTGATGCAACCAAGGCAGAAACATCAAGATGCTGCATTTCTGTGCGCTACTCACCGGGGCAACCTTTGATGGCACAAACGACTCAATGTCTTTCTTTGTTATCCGTCCATCTGGTCCCGTGCCTGGAGTGGACACACAAAAGGGAAAGGGTTTCAAGGAAGAGCTAACCAAATAAACTGGGGATGTGGAGTGACAAAAGTATCCTGGTGATGGCCACTCACCTTTCACCTGTGAAAGGTCAATTCCTTTCTCTGCTGCCAGTTTCTTTGCCAGAGGGCTGACTATTACCCTCCCTTTTTGTCCAGGAACCTTAGCCGAAGGAGGGGCCGCTGGCTGGGATGGAAAAGAAGGAGTAGGTGTTGCTGCCGCTGCCTTAACAGAAAAGAGAAGGCCAAATGTTTAGTTAGTTACCAACACATGGAGGCTCAAGAGAATTCCCCAATGTTCCAACCTGTGCTTGACTAGATGGACGGGTGTTTGGCATGGGGCACAGTGCCAGCCGCTCAAGTCCAGTACACAGTACCACAGTGGAATTGCGCTAATACATGCATGACCCGAGAACACAGGGTCCTAATGGGAGCTGGACATCTTACTTAGAAGAGGCCTGAGAGAGAGAGAGAAGTGTACTGAATGGGGGGGAAATCACATATGTTGGGAAGTGGGCAAAACAGCCTCAGTGACTCAGGAAAAGCTCCCCAATCCTCTGAAGAACAAAATTTAGCAAGCAGATAGGAAAGGTTTCTTTCTAAGCTGTCTTGTAGCCCCTTTCCTTGCAAATATATGAAAACAGGCAGCATACAGTTGATCAGGTTGTAGAAGCAATCCTGCATCTCTCCTATGTGGAGATAATTTCTAGAGCAACAAAATCTTCCTGCACAGGAGAAGCAAAAGTCCAAAAATCTTGGATCCAGCTGATTACATGGGGCTACTCAACAGATACATTTCCCCATCAGAGATATCATATATGCAGGTTGAACTTACAGGACTTGGGGGTGGCGGCAGCACTGGGGGCTTGATATCTGCTACTCCAGCATCCTTGTAGTCTGCAAACGCTGGAATGTCAGACTCTTTCTCCACAATGATGCAGAGGGGAGTTCCTAAGGGCACATCTCTCGTGCCTTCGGACACCAAGATTTTTGCCAAGTAACCTTCTTCCTGTACTTCAAAGCCTTAAGCGGAGAGAAATTGTTTAGGGAAACAATCACTACGGAGACCAATACTGAAGGAAACTTCACAATCCCACTATGGAGAGAGAGATTCCAGCAAATAAGTTAATTGTGTATTATTTACAAAATAAAATATTTAAATTAGCAAATCTGGAAGATGAAATCCACAGAGTTCTTCTAATTGAGGAGAAATCTTCATGTAATAAGATGACAAGCCTGGAGCACCTGATGCTGTAGTGAGATAGGATAATGTTCAGTATAAGCTCAGTATCAGCCAATGCTGTGAGGAGAGAAGGGAATCTTGTCTGCATTACATATTCTTTATGAAATGCAAATAGTAAAGAATCTTCCAAACTAATGGAGGGGAACCTGCAGCCCTCCAAACGTTAATGGACCAGAACACCGACTACCCCTGGCCATGCTGGCTGCCTGAGACTGATGGGAGCTGGGATCCAGCCACTTTGGACAAGCCACAAGTTCCCCAACCTTGCTCCAAAGCTTTATTTGTTTAGGATTTAATAGCTTCTCACCTATCGTAGCTTTGTCTGTCTCAATTTCTGCCAACAAGTCTCCTTCACTTAGCTTTTCACCAACCTTCTTTTCCCATCTCTGAACTGTGCCCATTGTCATTGTGGGTGAGAGGGCAGGGAGAAGAATCTAGGGAAGTAGAGAGTACAAAAGCTTGTATGAACAGATCTCTTAAAACCAAACAGCAACCATCCTCAATCCAAAAGGCAAGGCCTGAACAGTGTGGTTACAGTCCTCAGTCTTCGTGACACAATGCTTGATTGAAAGGAGGGAAACAGGACATAACTGCTCCATGGACAGTGAACTGAGTGGTCATTCCTCCTCCTCCTGCAGCATTGTAGAGGATAAGGTAGAGGGACATTCTCTGGCACCCCAAAAAACTTCCTCACTCTCTAGCAGTGGGCATGTTAGTTAGCACAACCTGTGTGTGTGTGTGTGTGTGTGTGTGTGTGTGTGTGTTCTCTTGGCAGGGAGCAAAGTCAACCAGCTAATACCACTAATTGAGTCAATGTGGTGTAGTAGTGTTGCACTAGGACCTAGGAGACCAGGGTTCAAATCCCTGCTCAGCCATGAAACTCTTTGGGTGACCTTGGGCAAGTCACAGTGTCTCAGCCTAAGCTACCCCCCAGGGTTGTTGCGAGGATGAAATGAGTGGGGCTGTGGAAGGAGTATGCCAGTTTGAGCTCCATGGAGGAAAGGTAGAATTGTGATAAATAAAAATAAATAAGTAAATAGTTGCCCCACACACACACATGTGCCAATCTGCCAAGGACAGAAACTTTTCATCCTCCATTTCCACAGTGCTTTAAAGGCAGTTCTGCTTCTCCTGCTGTAGCAAATGCAAGCTCACAGCTTGCATTGTTTTTGCAGCATGGGAACAGGGATAAAGTTTGAAGACAAAAGAAGAATAAATGATAAAGGACACACACAGAGAGAGAGAGATACAGTAAGAGAAATAGTAAATAGGGCCTGTACTGTACCTGCATGTGAGGAGGATAGGAGCTGCCTGGAGCTTGAGCAGAGGGGTGAGCTGCTGGCGTGGGGGGAGCTGCTGCTGCTGGAGGAGGAGGAGGCACTGAGGCTGGTGGAGCAGTTGCTGAAGAATCCAAAGTGTAACTCTTAAAGGCATCAATAAGCTCAGGCCTAGGAGAAGGCAGGAAGGAGCCTTGAGCAAGTGCAAAGATACGATATACCTAAAAATATAACTCAGACACCCAGAAGGCCTCACAGCTCTGCTGGCTAACACCTGCATGTCCCAACAACACACTGAAGCATGCAACAGTACAGAATACAGAAGAGATGTGGCTCTGCCCAGAAGGTTTCTAGACCAAGCGAACCGGACAGGAGAAAGAGTAGAGGTCTGGGCTTCAAAGGGAGAAGCAGAGCTTAATTTAAGCCAGGACTCAGCCCAGAACCTGCCCCAATATAACAGAACATAGAACATAATGCTCACATGTAGAGTGTCTTTCAGACCACTGAATGGCAAGCAGGCTCCATACATCTTAGGAATTTGGGCAAGGGCCTTCCAATTAGATTTGAACCCCTCTCATATTAAAGATCTTATCACTAAGGAGGTCAAGGCCGAGAAGAGGGCTAGCCAATACAGAGATTGTGGGGGGGGGGAAGTGAAGGACACCGAAACAGACATTAGCAAAACGGGAATTCTACAAAGATGGTCCTAGCTCCACTCACTTGTCCACAGTGATGCAGATTATGGCTCCAATGGGAACATCCCGCGTTCCTTCTGGCACCAGGATCTTGGCCAAGTAACATTCTTCCAGGCTCTCAAACCCCACAGTAGCTTTGTCTGTCTCTACCTTCACAAACATAGCAAAGGTGTTACAGTAAAGAAACATCCTATTTTCTTGACCTACACCTCATCAACCTCATATTAGCAACGTACACCATCAGAAAAAAAGAAAAGAAAAAGATGCCAGTGAAATTGACTTCCTCCTCCTTCTTAATCACAGGTGGTCAGGAGAAAGTATTAGGCGATGAAGGAGACTAACATCCCTCCAAGATGTTCCTAGGAACTCAATTCCAACAGCTTGCTCAGACACTACTTAATAAAAATGACATTTCAAGGTACCTCTGCTATCAGATCCCCCTCATTGATCTTGTCCCCTTCTTTCTTCTCCCATCGTGCAATAGTCCCCATCTGCATCGTAGGAGAGAGAGCTGGCAAAGGCACCTACAAAGAAACAGGTTGTTAAGGTGATCAATTTTCCACGCTGGAATTTCAGCTTCAACAGGTATTGACAAGCACCCACCAGCATGTCCCCTTCACAAGTAGCCTTAATTTGTGCAGAAGAAAATAGGGCTTCAGGCATAAGAGTAACATCCTATTCATCATTATAAGACCCTAGGGCCAATCAATAAAATACATTTATATACAAAAAATACACCCGTGGGTAGAGAAAAATCAATCAAAATACAAAAACAGTCAATGAAACGTTAAAAACAGCACAAATCAATATTAAAAAAACCCCACTTCATCTGTCTAAATTTCCATGCAGGCCAGTTGTCTTCATTTCTCATAGGACTATAGAATGCCATTATTAATAGGTCTTGGGTAGAGATGTAATTTATACAGGAAACAGACAGAAGTTCCAGGGTACCTCATAGTAAAGAAAGACCCCCAAGTTCTGGATTGTAAGCCACACAAGTGATTAGCCTGCCAAAAAACAAAAACAAAACCCTAGCCTGCATTTTCATGCTAGACAAAGAGGCTGAAAAGCAGAATGTAAGAATGAAGGAGCCTTACTGAATGCGATCAAAAGCCTATCTACTCCAACACTAAGTTTTTTGAGTGTCAAACCAGGTGCCTATGGAAAGTACCAAAGCAGAACATGAGCACAAGAACACACATAGATGGGTATCTATCTGCATTGGGGAAACTTACATACAGAGACTTCCATGCACTTTGGAACTCCCATCACACAGGGTCCCAGAATAAGTAAGAGATCTATGTACATAGGCTGCCCTGTAGCAGATGTTCAGGCTCAATGAATGAACATCAACAATAAATTATGGGTCCTCATTATGCCCATCATTGGGAAAGGCCACTTCAATAAACTGAGTCCATCTTTAGGAAAGGAGTTACTCTAATCAAGTATTACTTTTTATATCTAAGGTGAGAAGCAGAGGCCAGGAGACCACATATCTGAAGAACCACTACACACACACAATGCTTATGGGGTTGCTAACAGCAGAAAAGCACAGTGTGTGTGTGTGTGTGTGAGAGAGAGAGAGAGAGAATGGGAGGAAGACCCAGGAGCAGGATAGAATAACTGATCCAAATACCACCAATAAATACAGAGAAGACTGGGGGTGGGGACCCCAAACACCTCTAGTGAGAAGCCATCCATACCCAAACTCCAAACTGGGAACACTGAACTAGACTCAACCCTTGCTTCCTTCCAGTATAACATTGTGAAGTCCAGGGGAAAGGGAAGTAAGAATCTGGAAACATAGAAAGCTGCCTTATCCCAAGCAACAGCCTCCGTCCATCCACCTCAGGATCGGCTGCAACAACTGACAACAGCTCCAAAGGGTTTCAAATAAAAGGTCTTCCCCAGTCCTTCCTGGTGATGCAGACAAGGACCTTTTGCATAGAAAAGCATGTGCTTTGTCACTGAGAGATGACCTTTCATAAATAAAAAAAATTAAACGCCTTCATCATTATGAATAACAAAAGCACTGGAAGCTGCCTCAAGATATGAATCTATCGTGCTCAGTACTGTGACGGGCAATGACTCTCCAACCTGTCAGGCAGGTGTATTTCTCACCCTACCAAAAGATGCTAGAAGATTTGGTACCTGGGACCTTTTGCATGCAAAGCCCATCCACGTTCTACCAGCTGAACTCTGCTCCTTCCCCTAAAAATTCCAGTCCCCCGTGGCTCTAAATGAAGGCATGATTCATATCACAGCAGCAAAAGAAACTGCCCTACCGCGGTACCCAGACCATTGGGGCCCACCTAGCTCTAGAATTGTGTACATCAGGTTTCTTCAACGCTGGGCCCCCCAAGTGCGACTCCCACCATCCCGGACTACGGGATTTGCAGGAAGGAAGAAGAACCGAGGGCTGCTGAGCTCAAGCCCCGCTTGCACAGGCTTCCCGTTAGGGCACCGGACTGAGACCCAGATGCTGGGCTGAGAAAGGGGGGGCTGTCCGGCCTCATCCAGCAGCCAGGCGCTTCTTACCTTCGCATGACCTTCGTTTCTGCCTGCGAAGCAGGTCTTCTGCCGCCGCCGAGCCCGCAGCCTTCCCAACCGTGAGAAGGAACCCACCGACCCCCATACCAACCGTCAGAGGATCTCCCAGTCCCTATGAGTGGAAGATCCCCCCCCCGCCGCCCGATCCTCCCATCCGGGGCCACCGAAGGGGAGACCCCTTGCACAAATGCGGGCCACACTCACCTTCTGGTGGGCCGGGTAGCTGCACCAGTGCCGGGCGGGGCCGGGCTGGAGCCGGGCCTTCCCTTCCTGGAGGAACAGCGGCGCCTCTCCCCCCCGGCGGGGCCCCCATGAGGCGAGGCCGCCGCCGCTACCACCGGCGACGGCCCCCCAGGAGGCGCGGCCCCGCCAAGGGGCCCCCTCCAAGCTCGCCCCCGGCGCCGGCAGGAGCCGAACCCTCCGCGGGGCCGCGCATTGCTGGGCCACGCGCTTCGCCAGCACGCGCCACATCCCGCCTCGCCTCCCCTTCTCCCTCCCTCAAGAGGAAAAAAAGGAGGAGGCCCCGGCCTCCCCTGAGTCCGTCAGGCAGCGGCGGCCGAGAGAGGAGCGAGTGACCTCCCTCAGACTCCCCGGAGCGGGCAGCGCCGTAAGGCACGGGAGGAGGAGGGCGCGCGACACTGTCGCAAAAGGAACCGGGAGGCGGGAGGGCGGGCGAGGGAGGAACCGCCAAGCGCGTCAAGGATGGGCGGGGCTGCCTCCCAGCCGTGGCCTGAGGTTACCTTTCGGCAGCGCGAGAGGCTGCGCGCGCAGCCAGCCTGAGCCACTGGCGAATGAATGAACGAATGAGTGAGTGGATGAAACGCTTACACCAAGGTTTGCTGCCCCAAGGAATCCCTGTAACCTTTTACCTACACACAAGCACGATGGCGCTGAAAGCTCTTCTGTCTTTCTGTGAACTGTGCTCCTTTACTTGGCAAGAGACAGTCCTGGCAAATGACAGCCTCTGAACAAAGTGTGCTGGCAGACTACAACTGTTTCCCCTTTTGAAACGGAAAGGTGCTTAATCTCTCAATAGATCTGGCTGAATTTACTATAGAATGAAGTGTGCTTGCACACGAAAGCTCATACCAATAACTAACTAAGGTGCTACTGGAAGGATTTTTTTTATTTTGTTTTGTTTTACTATAGAATTGCAGGTTTAAAAAAAATACCTGATTTTAAAAGTTACTGATTAGTGGGTGTGCTCTGTTTTAGCTGCCAAAAGGATTAAAGAAGCTGGAGGGTGGAGGCTTTAGCAGGTGGTTTAAGATCATACCTGATGCTGGCTGCATATATGTGTGTGTGATGAGAGGTACAAGCCTTGGGGCATTTTCTTCTTCCAAAGACAGCTGCTTCAACACACATTAAATACTACTAGTACAATGCTGCCAGTTCCTTGGATTCGCTGACGCATCTGAGAAAGCAGCTGTAACTCACACCCACTACTAAGCACTATGTAGCAGGCAGGTTTTCCTTTCACTATTTCTTGCTGAAGAATGAAGCAGGTTGCTTGGGCTGACACAGATGCTTGAGACTGAAATTGCCGTTCCTCCCTTTGCCAAACAAATCAGGATGGAAGAAATGGCCTCTGTTTCCTTAGTTGGCTGACTTCCTTCTCACATCAGACCCAGGCAGCAGCACCTCCTATGGCAGCCTCAGAGCTTCCACAAGTACAGTACACACCTGTTGACATACAGGAAGCATGTCTTATGTGATGCTCAGTGCACCTAGCAAGCTTCTCACCATCCCCCCCCCCCCCCGCTGCACACAAAAAATGCAAATCAGACCTGGGTTTGCAAACTCTCTTTATTGGAGGTTATTTTTTTCTTTAAAGTCTCGGTCCACAAATCCAAAGTATGTTTAACTGTTGCAGCACACAAACAAGCTTCAGGTCTCTCTTGGCCAGCAATGTGCAGGGAGGAGGCTGTGAGAGCAACCCCCCTTGTAATAGTAATGACTGCAGACGTCAGAATTTCTATACAAAATATATATAGAGCATTTTATACATAGCTTGCATGGGACATGCTGCAAGGGTATGAACTCAAAAGAGGGATTTCAAAAGGAAGCAGAACATCTCTCGAGTTTGTGTAAAAATCAGGCATAGATTATGTTGAGGAGAAAAACCAAGGACTTCTCCCTACTTTTCAGTCTCAAATACAGCCTTTCCTAACTTGATGTTCCTGACTACAGCTCCCATTAGCCACAGAAGCTGTAGTCCAAAATACTGAGAGGCACCCAGTTAGGAAATACAATTGCCCCCACGATTCCATGAATGATTAATTTTATTTCAGGCCTATTTTGTTACCTCCCCAATGTTCCTCATCCTTATGAGGGGATGGTAAATGTGGAGCATATCTACATGACAAACTTTCATACGATTTAAGCAATATATTGCTGCTTACCCCCAAAGACTCAAGGGAACTGTAGTTCAGATAGTGAAGAGATGCCTATATACTTTCCTGTGGTTCGCTGGTGGTTAGAGTGTAACGGCACCTAAGGCAGTTTTACATCAGCCTCAGCCATGTAGATACACCTTTGGTGTAACTGCAGAAGCAAAGTGAAACTAGGTGTTTTGTAGAAAGAGGACAACACTGATATGAAAGAGTGGCGATAGTCTTAGGAAAATGCAAGCGACAACTTCAACCTTAATGCTACAAGACTGAGGCTGAAACCCTGCACCCACTTTGGATAACTAAATCCCACTGGGGTTCACAGTATTAAAACAGCCCAATAGTATCTAGGACTGCAGCCAACCAGAGTCCTTAAGTCTTTCCTGAGGTGACCCCCTAAACCAGGGTATTCTTTGCTCCCTCTCACCACCACAACCACATTTCTGCCAAGAAGCCTGTCTGAAAAGGAAGAACTGGTTCAATTAAACTGAAGTTAAGTTGATGAGAAGTGAGTACAAGTTTGAGCTTAAAAGCATAACTCTTCCTGGGGGGGAAACAAACCACTGGACAATTCTTCTCTGTCTCTTTGTTTAGTAAATATAATTCCATGCTGCCTTTTCGCAATCTACTAAAATTCATGCAACAGAAAAAACAGTAATTCCATGAGGAGAAGGAAGTTTGCCTTTATCAGGGGTGAGGAACCCTGTTTCTTCCCATTTAGTAATAAGCTCTCACCTCCCAAAGCCAGCTTGGTAGTCGCTGTTCTGAAGGACAACAAGGATTGCACTCTGAATTGCTAACAGCAGACACGGATTCTAATGAGGGCAGGATTTAGAAAGGCACTACTGCACTTTCTGTACACTGAGGGCATCGGGAAGACCAACAACACAGAAAACACCATCAGTACAAGAAAAGAGCTGGCAAAATATAAAACCATTAGGAATCTGTAATACCTTCGTAGTAAAGTAAACCTAGTAATGGGAGCCACTTGGGGTGGTGGCATTAACAGGATGCTGTATAAAACCTGCTAGCGTCCTCTAGAAAAATGGGTAAAATACAGCTCAGCATGTGTGCAGAAATATACAGAGGGGAATAATACTTGCACCGGTATAAAAATATACACCATCCTTGAACAACAGCAATGCAAATGGATACAAAATAATTCCAAAAAACAGGAACAAGTTTACAAAAAGGACATGTTTTAAAATCTATAAAATGATAAAAGCCAAGTTTTCCTTCAAATGTCCAGCCTCACATGAAAAAGGACACGAAACAGGCTGACATACAGACACGTTCATTCAGAGTGCTGGTGCAGGCACCAGAGACATGCAGGCTTGCAACCACCTTCAACGCACAGGACTGTGCTGGATGGAAGACGAGATGCAGACACATGGAGTTGGGCTGGTGGAGGCAGCAATCTCTGGTAGCTGGAGCGATATTCCTGATTTTGCCACTCACCATCTGCTTTTCAGTTCAGTGATGCCATGGGTTCACTTACCAAGAGGCACCCCCTGCACTCCCCAGTTCTGCGTTTTAGAGCATTGCTGGAAACACAGAAAGTCCATATCCAAGAAAAGCTAAAAAGTATCATGTTACATGAAGCAGTACTGATTGCCGGCTGGACTACCAGGAGACCAAATTTGGCATGTGGAGAACAGATGTAAGCAGCAAGTGGATGTGTCCCAAAATGATGTGTAGGTGTGCCCCAAAGACACTTACTTAAACCTACTTATTTAAACTCCACTGACCTCAACGGCTACAATTTCTGTCCAAGCTTTATTATGCTATGAAAAGTGTGTGTGTTATGCTTGAGAGCCAGTTCATGCAGCTCATGGTGCCTGCTGTGGCTCAGAGAACTGGGTAACTTGTTCTCCGCAAGCACACACCACCCGTTTTGCACGCCACATTTGAAGAGTGGTCTGAGCGGCGCTGGGCAAAACTGCAGATTCTGCTTGAGGCAAACAAGCCAGTTGACCCTGCCTTAATCAAAGGGAAGGGACAGTAGAGGAAAAAGACAGCCACCACAAGGAGGGGCGATTGTATGCAACCGTTTTAAACCAGGGGACCAGAGAGGTTATGTGCCTGACGCCTTGCTCCCTTTCGGCTTTCCTGAAGGTGATTTCACACAAGTCACACACTCTCACTAGAAAACTTGCAATGAGACTCACATGAAACAGTTCAACGTGCATTCCACTGTCCAACCACTTAAAATAAATAGCATTGAAACAGCAAAGCGGGATCCCAGTCCCACATGAGTCTCAGCACAGGCTGATTGGAAAAGAACTCAGATGGTGATGGGAGAAAAGCAGAGTCACGAATTCTTGAGTTGTGGAAGAGGACAGAGAAGCCCCCTTTCCGAGGGACCCACATTACATTCTCCTACTGTTTGGACTGGAGTTTAAGAGAACAAATGCATGGACTGGACTCTCTTCTGCCACTTGATCCCTGGAGAAACAAAGACGTGGACCCTTCTGTGGCCTCCTCTGCCAAAACGAAAGCAAGAGGGTGACAAGGCAGTTGAAGGAAAGGGCAAAGAACCCTCCTCACCCATACCCCCCCCAAAGCAATCCAACTATCGTTTCATGTCCCTCAAGAGTTCCAGGATAGGAGAACGAAACAAGAAGAGCAGAAGCCGACACCCCAACCCCGCTCTGATGCTGCCAACTCATGATCTGAACCACAATCCAACCCACTTCTTTCTCTCAAGAAAGTCTTGTTGGCTCCCGATGCTGTCTGTCTGGCACAGAGTCATTTGGAATGATTGGCTGGCGAGAGCTTTCAATACGGAGAATGTAGCTGCGACAGCGCTGCCTGCCTCCAGAGGACAGTTTCTAAGTTTCCGTCATTAAGTGCAAGGTTCCTTGTAATACTGTACGTCTCCCAATGAAAATGCTCTGGATTCTCTGACAGCAGGGGGAAGGGGAAGCAGGGACAACACACCGTTAAGGCTGACAATGACTGAAAAAGAGAGGAGGGCCACTCCCCACACCATGGGACTTTCAAACAACGCAACATTTGGCCATGGAACTCAAGTGCCATACATCCTCTTCGCTTGTGGCAAAACGTTATACCCGTCATTTTGCAGAGAAGTCCGTTCCTTCCTTTTGGCAGTTTCGAGACAGATGCATCTCAGTTCACACACTTTTTGGTCGGTATCTGGGAAGTGCAGCAGACCAGTGGTGGGGTCGCCCAGGAAAGAGAGTTCGGGTGGTCTCTGATTAGTTCTCCCCATGGTCCTCTTCCACCCATGCCACAATCTTTCCCTCCCACCCAGGGATGATGTCGTCGTCATGGAAAACCTGTGAGAAAAGCAAAACGAGAGAAACTTGCTAACAAAATGAGGGTACGTGCAGATGTTCCTGTGCCAAGAGTCACCAAGGCTAGCGGTTCTTGCAAGTTTGAGTGGGTTGAAGCTTCTTCTCCCTAAGCACGTCTCAGGATGTGTTTTGAACGGCCAGCTGCTGGCATGGCACAGTGGCTAAGAGAGCCAGCTGCACGTCAGAAGTCCTCAGTGCAAATGTTATCTCAACCATAAACCTACCAGGTGACTTTAGGGTAAGGATGGGGAACCTCAGACCCAGGGACCAAATGCAGCTCCTTAGGCATCTGTATCTGACCCTCAGAACTCTCCTCAGTCCCCACCCCTCAGTATCTCTGCTTTGAACCATCCTTAAGTGTCCGGGGGCTAGTGCAGGACATGCCTGAACTCTTATAATGCCTCTTGCTTGCTTGCATGGGTGGAGGAGAGAGAAAGAATGTGTGTGCATGCACAAACTAGCCTGCTGTTGCTCTGCCCATGCCCACCCCTTGGAAGGCTGTCCAGGAGGGAATGTGGCCCTCAGGATGGAAAAGGTACCCTATCACTGCTGTAGGGCAAGCTGCTCTTTTCAACTCTGTATCTGGATTACTATGAGAGATCAAAAGGCCACCCTCATGTTGACAGTCAAATGGTTATCCCAGTGAGCCCCAACACTATTAACATTTTTCCTTTTCACAGGCTGATCCTGAGACACGATGACATGCCCATGCCCTCACACAATGAAGCCCATAGCAGCAAGGGGGTAGGTGGGCCTGAGCCCAGCTCCTCCAGGCACAAGCCCAATTCTCTGTTCACCACCCTCAGATTCACCTGTAAAAACCGAGAGCCAGAAAGTCACTCCTTTTTAAGGTGTAAGTGGATTATTTTGCACATTCTGGGGCATCTCACAAGTTTTGCACCAGAAGACTTATTCTGCAAGCTTGCAGGATGATCAGGGCCTTGTAAGCTCAGAGAAATTGCAGGTCCTTGCCCTACATGACGGCCTAACCTCCTTTAGCTATTACAGTTACATCACCCAAGCCAAGCGCTGCAGAAACCTGTCCTTACCAGACAAATCAAACAGGACAAGTTCCCAGATCTTTGGCACTCTTATTGGTTGGGTGACATCCATCAGCTGATTTGTCTGGAGACTTCACTTTCTGCCTGTATGCTCTTAGAGGGCGGCTGCTGAATAGTCAGGTTGCTTTTATGCAACATTCTTCAGTTGTACTTTAAGGTTGCATGATTTACCCACGTGACACCCGACACCTGGGCCAACCCTGGCCTTTCTGCCCCGGGGCTTCCACGCCACAGGACTCAGGACACATGAGCACACAGAGATGAAAAAGAGTGACCACATGATTAGGGATGGAGGAATATGTCAAATTCGGTTTCTCTCAATTTCCCATTTTTCCAACCTTAAATTCAGTTCTCCTCATTTCTGCAGCAATTTGAATTTATTTTTTAATCCTCATGCAAATTGGTCAATGGTTTAGGGCAGGTTTCTCCTAATAAAACACATTTTTGTACGCACTTTCCCCCAATATATTTTGCAAACAATTACAACTAACTTAATGCGTTTTTGTATTTTTCACTAATTTGTAGTGACTTTCCCCTAATGCATGCATTTTTTGCACAGTTAGGTTGGAAAGCCTCCATCGCAAAATTCAAAGAAGTGTAGATTTCAAAGGATAGCTGTGTTTCAGTTTGTGTATTAGTTCGAGAAGTGTTTATTAAGAAGTCTTTCACTGGGATGCAAACAAAATTGAACTTTTCCCCCATCCCCACACACAACCAACTGCCATTTTGCCACTCTCTACAAGTGGGCATGTCACACAATAACTGTGAGCGTAAGTCCTAATGAGAGGCTATTACATACCTCCTCTTTTACTGTGCCAAATTCTGGATCTAGGGCTTTGAAGTGGTAGCGATGTGTTCCTTCCCGATCAATAGCTGCTTTGAAGTCCCTTAGAGTCACCTCACCTAACCTGCACAGACACAAGAGTAGGAGAGAGGTAGAGCCAGTCTCACTGCCAGCTTGTGGCATGAATGACACAGGGCCCCATGGGTGCAGCGGCTGTTGCAGTGCATGCTGGGAGAAAGAACATCCCCACAAAGGCACAAATTCTGACTTAAGTCCCCCCCATGACAGCCTCACCTCTTTGGTATGTTCACCATGAAAGGTGTGAGGGAGCGATCCGTGAAGTAGAGCACTTTGGTGCAGGCACTGCTGCTCATTGCAGGGGTGCTGTGAGAATGAGGCAGTTCTGCAAAGACAGACGGACTCTGTTAAATTATAGCCCTCCAACTCTAAAAGGGAAGCTAGAGAAGGAAAACGTGAGAGATCACCTAACATCAAGGGCTAGTGACCACACCCTGACAGAAATCTCTCTCTCTCTCTTTGTGTACACACACACACACACACACACACACACACACACACACTTCACACCTCTACAGAGTTTGTCACCAATAGCATTTAGGGACAACACCAGTGGATTACACCCCAGGCCACACAACACCTCTCCCACAACAGCACCATCCTGCTTGCAGCCTCTGGCCAATGATAAAATCAAGAATCCTGTTGTTGTTTTGCAGTCTCAAAGCACAACTCCTGCTATGCCTCCACTGGCCCCAAAAGCAACACCACTATGTGGATAAGCAGAGAATTGGCACAGGGAGAAGCTGCAGGCATGCCTGCCTATCAAGGGTTACACAGCACATACGTCTCTCCCTGCTTTTGGAATAGTCATGCAGGTGTACGTCCCTCATGCTACATCTATGCTGTTTCCAACAAACTGGATGTGGGAGGAAGGTTTGGGATTCAACAAGCCAATTTGTCCAGGAACATGAAGCAGCTTTATTCCTATCTGCCACTGCACACAACTCACAATCTCCAGTATAGGTAGGGGTGAGCATGGATCGGACAGGTACAGATGCCAGCTATGCCTGAACTTCCTGGAAAATGCTTCGGTCTAAAGGCTTGGCTTATTACCAGCCTAAGATTTCTCATAATACAAAAACTCTTCTGTTTTATAGATGCAATGCAATGATGGTGGGGAAGGAAATGGTCCACCCAGAACGAGATAAGAGATGCCCAGTTTTTTAAAAATCCAGCTGCAATGACTGGGGAGCAAAGCAAAAAGAGGCAGCACTGCTAACTGTGACCACTAGATGGCAGAACCTGTTTGCAGTAAAACACTGCAAGGCCTCAGAGAATAAGGTGGTGTTTTCTGCTTGATGTTAAGAGTAAATATTAATTGGAGTTGTTCATTATTTATGCTGCAGTAGTGTCCAGAGACCGAAGCAGTCTGCTTTGTGCCAACAACTGCACCTTGGCAAGCTCTTAGTTCCAAGTGAAGCTGGTGAAAGGAACAGTCCAAGGCAAAGGGGCAAGTAGGAGGGTGAGCAGGTCTGGGGTGAGAGTGAGGAGGAGCAAGACCTGCACAGATTTCCAAAAGCATCCCTGCTAAACAGCCTCTGTTCCAGAGTATCTGGCAGCCCCTCCAGATTTATTCTGCATTTGTCCCAATTTGCTTGCACAAAACTTACACTGAGGTTAGACAAATGAGCATTTGTTCTGATTTGTCTACGGGGCAGTTATATCATCATTATTATTATTATTATTATTATTATTATTATTATTATTTGCTTAATTATACCCTGCCTTTTTGCCCTAATGGGACTCAACGCAGCTTACAGATAAAAACAAGAATTGCTAAAAACATAGAAAGAGCAATAATTAAAAAAACAATTAAACATGAATAAAATTATAACTATATACACATATAAAACCTGTTCAAAGCATACAAATAATTACAATAAAAACAGCACAGCACCAGCCCTTTCAATAAAGCAGCCAGTTCCCAAAAGCCTGTTGGAACAAGAGGCTCTTCACCTGCCAGTGGAAGAACAACAAGGAGGGAGCCAGTCTAGCTTTTTTAGGGAGGGAGTTCCACAGTCTGGGAGCCGCCACCGAGAAGGTTGTGCCAGTATGTTAATGAACATTCATCAGAATTTGCTTGCAAGGTGTTTACACGCCTTCCTGTTAACCATTTGTCCATCCTACACTTTCCAGAGATATTTCCCCGTCACTTTCCTAACCACAAAAGGTCCATTCTTTTTTGAAAGTGGAGTGCTAGGGCGACAAGAGCACTTGAATGCACTTGAACGGTGCAAACCTGCTTTTCCAGAATGTAACTGAATCCCTCCCACAAAATACTGACAGTCTAGACCTGAAGCAGGACATTTCCGTCTGGAATAAGAGAGTGGTCTTGGAACTGCACTCACTGGACTTGGAGGGCCAGGGCTCTCGGTACTCGTTCGTGGCGTGGCCGGCAGGTGATTTTCCTTGGATCTAGAGGGGGAAACCAGAAAGAGACTCTGTACATGCTCATAGGCACATTATTATTACTATTAAGATTTCAGGACTGAGCCCTGGCATCACAAACAGGTTCTGGGGTTGAGAATCCAAGGACAGAAATGACTTGCAAATTGTCCCCTCTTGTTGCTCCTGGAGAGTCTTGGAGAATCTACTTTAAAGCTCTGACAGAAGGGCCTACTTTTACTATTCCAATGCAGGGCAACCATTTACCGGTCCTTGCATTGCTGAGCTGAGCAAACATCACAGAGGCTCAGGAGGCTTGAGAGCTTGAGAGGCAAGCCAGGTTTGCCTGCTGAGTAGCAGCTACAAACGCGAGGGGCTCCATCTTAAAGGTCAGCAGAGAGGAAAACAACAGATGGGTTAAACTGATTAAAGGACCGTGCGCAAGTGTGCGCACCAATTGGGACAAAGGGAGCATGTGCCGCTGTAATGTCAGCAAGAGCCTGCTCAAAAATGACCCCCACCAAGGACAGCATCCAGTGAAGTGAGCGACTGAAAAGCCCTACAGCAATGGCAGCACCTGGCGGCCCTTTAGCCGTTTCACAGCTTGTGACGAAGTCGCCCTCAAGTCTTCCTAGAGGAGGAAGCTCCAATGGGAAAGCGGCAAGAGGCCTGTGAAAGGAGGGAAGGCGCAGCAAGCTTGTGAGAGTCAGGAGCAGGAACCAACACTCCCATCTCCTTGGACATATTTGCCTGGCATAATATAGGTAAAGGTAAAGGTACCCCTGCCCGTACGGGCCAGTCTTGACAGACTCTGGGGTTGTGCGCCCATCTCACTCAAGAGGCCAGGGGCCAGCGCTGTCCGGAGACACTTCCAGGTCACGTGGCCAGCGTGACAAGCGAGCCAGAGCCGCACACGGAAATGCCGTTTACCTTCCCGCTGGTAAGCGGTCCCTATTTATCTACTTGCACCCGGGGGTGCTTTCGAACTGCTAGGTTGGCAGGCGCTGGGACCGAACAACAGGAGCGCACCCTGCCGCAGGGATTCGAACCGCCGACCTTTCGATCGGCAAGCCCTAGGCGCTGAGGCTTTTGCCCACATCGCCACCCGCGTCCCCTGGCGTAATATAGTCCAGCTGCAACTAAGCCATGAAGCCTGAAATTGACACACCACAAAACGCAAGATCAAAGCCAAGACTCCTAAATCCCAGACACATCCCAGGCAGTGCCTGGAAAAGCATTCGTATTTGGTGGACCTAGTACTTTACAACAGCATGCATCACTATGTCCCCTACCTCAAGAATCCCTCCAGGGTAAATCAGGTGGTTGCAAACTCCCTTTGTCACAATGCAAGTCTCAAGCCATCAAAATGCTATCACACAGTGCTTTTTCTAGGGCCTCAGCAAGCGCACATGCCCTGAACCTAGCCTACACCTGCTGGAGCATGCATGGCAGAAGGAGGGGGTCATAGCAGAGATGATGATGATGATGATAATGTACTCTATCACCCCCTTTTCACTGTAAAGTGTCATGGGCACATGGTCTGTCCATGCAGGGCAAAGGCGCTTACAGAGCAGTGACTCCTCCAGGCCCCATATGCAGGTAAACCCACAAGCCACAAATGGTGCAGAAAGAAGCAGCATCACCCCAGCATGACCCAGGAGCGCCTCTTACCCTCCTCTCTTGCCTCTTCTGCATCTCCATGCGGTGCAGCCTCTCCATCAGGCTGGAGATGCCCTGCTCCAGGCTGTCGATGGTGTGGTGCTGGGGGTCGTGGCCGCTGAAGCTGTTCCGCAAGCTGCGCAGGGCCTCGCGCACCAGCTGCAGGTCGTTGGTCTGTCCAGGAGATCAGGGAAGATGAGGAGGAAGCAAGCCTGGCTCCTCTGAGAGGCTCTGCCCTGCAATACCCCTGAGCCGTCCCAGCAGGCGGCTTGCAAAGCCTCCATGGAGCCCCGAGAGAAGGAGAAAGAAGTAACTTACCCCTCTGTGTGCTGTGGAAGCAGCTCCTTTTCCTGACGTCTGCAGGAAGCCGTTGCTCTGAGAGCCGTGATTGCTGTAGACTATCACCTGGTGGGCGTGAAAGAAAGAAAAACTTTTGTGGCCACAGGCAAGGAGACAGAGTTAAGAATGGATTACAGACGCAGCCTCATTTGCCACCATATTCTGGGAGTCTTCCGCAGTGAAGGCAGAAGATTTATAGAGGAGCGAAGTCTACTTTTGGAAGCACTTTCATGAAGTGGTTCTGCAAGTTTGTAGCAGAAACCAGCAGTACATTGTGTTGATTGGCTGGTGTCCATGCTGTCACCACCTCCCAAATTCCCAGAGCAGTTTTGCACTTTAGATGATTTTTAAAAAAATAATTAATAATGCTTCAAATGAGTACATGTGATTTTCTTTTCTTTCTTTTTTTTAAGCCAGAGAATCCACCTTCATTTTTAGGGGTGGTCTCACAACAGAGCAAGTGTTCAGTTTGCTGATATGCACATCAGTCATTTCAGTTTCAGAGCTGGGTGGTAGCTAAGCTCAATCCTCAACTCTTTTTCTCTTTTCTATTACATCTGTTTCCATCCAGTGATGCTGCTGCTGCTGCTTCCAGTCTAACTGCAGTGTAATCAGAGGTTATTATTATTATTATTGTGCTGGAACAGCAAAAAGCCACACTTGCAAAAGGCAAACAATGAAGTTTCACACACCTCTTCTGCATCCTTCTTCATACACTGAGCCAACAGAGCTTCTTTGTGCTCCAGCTCTCGCTCCAGCTCCGCCTGCATACAGAAGAAATGGATCAGCAATCAACACAACCAAGATGCCTGGGACATAAACGGGGACTGGTGGCGGCAGCAGGGCAGGGGGGTGTTGCCGGTACCTGGTGATAGCTGGCCTCGGAGAGCTGCCGCAGCATCTCCTCCATCTTGGCCTGGTGCTGGTGCAAGTGCCGATCCTTCTGGCTCAGCTCCTTCTGCAACACAGTGGGAATTGGGGTCATCAGCAGGGGAAGGAGGCTTGCACTGGATGGGAGCAAAGTTGGGGGCAAAGGTCAGCAGAGGCCACGCAGCTGTTGCTACACGGCTTTCTTCGGAGAGGAAAGATCAGCTGGGCACCCAGCACACTGGGCTGCCTGGATAATGGAGAGACTCAGTAGCACAACCCAGCTACAGGTAAGGGAATAGGAGAGAGGCAGAATTATAAGGGCACGTGAGGAGGATTTCCCAGTTACACTGCAGGAGTGACCTGGGCAGTATGTCCCCTCCCAGCCCCAGAGAGGAAGGAAGATTTCCTTACTTTGTATTCAGCGAGAAGTCGATTCCGCTCTTCCACTTTCCTCTGTAGATCAGCCTGCATAAGAAACAACTGAATAGTGAGCTAGCTGTGCTGTTTGTACCCCCTGGCTCTGGAGACTCAGTGCAACACTCTACAAAATGTGCCATGACACACACAGAGGCTCCTGTTCTTCCCTGGCCCTTCCTTGGGCACTGATGCTTCCTCCATTTTGAATTTACAGGGTGGCTCTAGCTCAGCTCTGAAGTAAAGGATTTACAGATCTGCGCCATCCTTTACTGCCATGTACGCTAGGGAAGCCATTCTCCTTTCTCACTAGACGAAGTGATTTTGGAAAATGCAAATAACTACATACATCGATCCCTCAGGAAGAGAATGGGCTACAGAAGGCATTAATTAGGCCACTGAGCTGTAGCAACAAAATTTCCCCCTAAGCAGTCTTGTTACGGCTGGTTCCCCAACTCCCCATGGGCCTGACCTCTCACAATATTAATTTACAGCATTTTTAACAGTCACGGCTTCCCCCTAAGAATCCTGGGAACTGTAGTTCATTCCTCACAGAGCTTCAATTCCTAGCACCCTGAGAAACTCCAGTTCCCAGGATTCTTAGGGGGAGACCACATGCTTTAAATGTATGGCATGGAACTCCCCTACAGAAACAGAGGAAGTTGCCTTATGCCTGCACACAATTACTTGTGCACTTATCCCAGTATTGTTTACTCTTGACTTGTTGTGGCTCTCCAGGTTTTGAGGCAGAGGAAGGCCATTCACATCACATGGTTTACACACACACACACACACACACACACACACACACACACCTGGAGAGGCTAAGGATTCAGTCTGGAACCATCTGCAGGCAAAGTGCATGCTCTCCCGCTACAACCCCTCCCACAAGTCCCATGAGCTTCAGTCTCCAAAGAGGAAGCCTCACACACGACGCTGCAACACAAAACGGCCACTCACATTTTGGCTATGCAGTTCCTCCTTGTCCATGTTTGCTCTAAGCAGCTCTTGCTTTATCTGAAGAATCAGAGCATCCTGTTGGGCCAACCGCTGCTGCAAGGCATCCTGGGAAAATAAAACACACCCACTTCAGGCTGCCATCCTGGAACATTTGCTAGGAAGCAAGTATAATTGCACTCAGACTTACTTCTGAGGAAATGTGCTTGAAACTGCACTGTGAAGAACCTACAGACTAAAATGTGAAGGGAAAAGGAAGGGAGGTGCAGAAGGCAAGATCACAGTGGCTACAGGAAGAGAACTTTGCAGGCCAACCCAGGTGAACTGTTTAGACCAAACTCCAGGATCTCACCACACTCCAGCCAGCAGTCAGCATCTCAAAAGGTATATCTGTCCCCAGGGTTGCTCAGGTGGCTAAAGTGAAAAAAATATGGGCAAAAAGATGTGCCTTTGGAGGTTCTTTTGTGTGGCCCAGAGTCAATTCCTACGGCCACCACTCAGCGACCACCTACACAATCCATGAAGGAGAAGCTACCATTGTGTCTTCAACTGAGTAGAACTATACAACACTCACCTAGGAGTACCCTAGTGCCCACTCAAGAAAGATATAAACATCTATCAAGGCTGAAAAGCTGAGAACGTAACATTCAGAGTATCACTATATGAAGCTTCTCAATCCTAATCTCTGTAGCAAAGATAGGGAAGCTGTGACCCTCCCGATATTATCGACGCAACATGTACTGTAGCCTGGTAGGATCTGAACTGCTTTACCAAAATTGCCTTTAATTCAGGCATAGATATTGTTTGAGACACTTGTTTTGAGGGCTGCTAGTGGACCAAATAAAGATCTCAAAATACTTAAACCACAGCAAGACACATGTAATTCATCTGCAGTAAAATGAATGTGAAGCATGCGTGCAATTTAAAGCCTAATGGCCCAGGGAATACCATGGGATTTGAGCTAGCTATGCTCTGAGAACCACATTGCCCTGCAATCCTACTGCATCTGCCCAAGCCAGGGTACATTTCCACAACTCTCCCTTCGTGTTTCTCACAGGTTTCTTCCTCCAGCAACATCAGGTGAGGAGGCAGAACTAAAAATACCTCTTGCTCTGGAGCTGATTATCACATGGCCGGGATATAAACAAGCTGAAGGCAGCCAAGCACGGCGCATAGATTTGTTGCAGATCCCTCATATGTGTGTTGTACGCCTAAGAATGAGTACACTGATCCGTGAAGCAACAACCTTCACCTTCAGAAGACCGATTCGTGCAACCATTTCCTCAAAGCAAGCACTGACTTTTTAAACTGCCGTGCAGTGGGGATGTGACTGTTTTTGACCAATGAGTGTTGACTGCAGAGCCCATTGCTTGGTAGACCCTTTCAAATTGCCTACTTCCACTTGATCCTCAGCACTTTTCAAATGGCAAAGGCAGCATTTATTAGGGAATCACTGATTGTTCTTTCAGTCCACCCAGAATGAGCTGTCCTCAGGTCTGGTTAAATATTTTAGCTCCTTACAGTCAATAATCTAATTTTTAAGTATCAGGTTCACATACTGTCACATATTGTTCTACATTCTTTTTTTGCCAGCATTTTTTTTTTAGGGGGGGGTAGGGAATCACAATTTAACATTTTTAGAGGTCGATGTGACCAGGCCCCTGGGATTTTCCCAGTCTTGCCTATTCAGTTTGTCCTTTGGAAACTGAATAACAAAGAAGAAGCTGCCTCTAACCCTACAAACTGCTTGCAGAAACCCACATTAACGTCAAGAGTACTTGCAATCAGACACATAAATCAGTTTTTGCACATTCAGCACAAATGCAAATGCTCCTCAAATCGCCTTCACATTTTCTCCAGCTATTCTTCACATTTTAATTTCCCTCTGGACAATCCACCAACTGGGAAATGGCAAGTGCGCTAGGCAGCCGGGGGTGGGGGGTATAGAGTGCTACCAAAAAGAGTCCTGATGGAGAGAGGCATTTAGACGGGTAACACTTATCTTCCTGGTTGGAGTATCTCCCCCCCTTACCCAGCCATATATCCCAATGTGAGAGATCTTCAGCTACAAACATCTGCGTACATTTGGATAGGCAGGTGGGGATTAAATGTGTATTACAAAATGTTCAGAAGTGGTCCTGTTGGGGTGAAAAACTTGCAAGCAGAATTCAAGGTTCAACACCTCCAGTTGGTTGCTTTTAAAACTCTGCACTGCTCACAGAGAGAATGAAAGTTGCGAGTCCGTTCCAGACATCGCTAGCGGTTTAGATCAGGGGTCAGCAAAAATTTTCAGCAGGGGGCTGGTCCACTGTCCCTCAGACCTTGTGGGGGGCCAGACTATATTTTGAAAAAAATAATATGAACAAATTCCTATGCCCCACAAATAACCCAGAGATGCATTTTAAATAAAAGCACACATTCTACTCATGTAAAAACACGCTGATTCCCGGACCATCCGCGGGCTGGATTTAGAAGGTGATTGGGCCAGATCTGGCCCCCAGGCCTTAGCTTGCCCACCCATGGTTTAGATTCTCAGACGTGCAAAAGAAGATTCTTTGAAAAGCAAGCATGACCCAACATTAAGGTTGGGTGAGCCATTTCTGCACTTCTTCCCCGCCAAACTGCAATAATAGGCCATAGCCAATATTTTAAACTTTATTGTCTCACCTTTACCCCTTGCAGGCTTCTTGCTTCTTGCTTGTGCCTCTGCAACTCTTTCTGCAAGTTGAACAAAGTGAGGTTGCAATGACATCCTGATGTCACTGTCTCAAAAGCAACGCCGCCTCTCCCACCTCCCTTCACTGTTCATCCTCCCCCCACCTGAAAATGTTTTAAAGAAACCCTCTTTCATGCTTGAAAATCAAACGAAATTTTGTACAGGACCTGTTTTAATGAGCCTGAAGGAACCAAGAAGAAATCAATGCCTGAATGAACGCCCCCCTGGGCACCGCCTGCTCCCTTAAGGACTCGACATTAAACGGGAAACGGGAAAAACCGACAATCCCTCAAAATCTCTCTTTCGGCCCAGTGCTGAGCATGTAGCTTCCAGTGAGAGTCCTGGGCTCGTTGCCAACTTCTGCATGGGCCCCAGATGAGACAGACATGACAGAATTGCCTTTTCCTGAGCTGCTTTCATCTTGCCAATGAAAGTGTGAATACACTTAGACATGGCTAGAAATCTTAACTAATGCCCCCATTAGTTCTCCAAATACAGCGTAACTTTTCAGTATTAAGTAGGCTTCAAGAACACCTTGCAGAGTTAGGCTTCTCTTATTTGCTGAAGAAGGGATGTTGTAACGGGAGAAGAAGAGAGCGTGCAGAAATTTGTGCAACCAGAATCACACGATAAAAGGGGAGAATTAACTACAGAAAGCCATGAATGCAGTAAAGCCCAGTGCAGAAGTATAGCCCTCACAGTTCTCCATAGGAAAACCTGAAAACACATGGGGAACTTAAGCTTTATGTTAAGAAATTTGTAAAGAGCCCTTGTGGGATATAATTTCTAGTGCTAGGCATGCTCTTTCACTGCAGCTGGTTCCCACAGTCCAGGCCTGGTTGTTGCCAAGGGATGCGGTTGCCAGTGACCAGAACTGAAGTGGTTCAGGATGAGCATTGGTCTGTGCAGTTTGCATGGTTTGCTTCCCTCAGTGAATGCAAGGGCATCCTGAGGGGGCAGGAGCGGGGGCGGGGGATATCTGTGTTTCTCCAGGACATGTCCCTTGTTCCTTGTTATGCTTTATAGCCCTTGATCCCACACTTGGGATAGCCCTGCACTGAAAATTTGTAATGGTTTGGATTTGCATGTTAGACCCCCCCCCAAAAAAGCCACCGTTTCCCTGCATGTAGCATTCAACTCCTCCTGTGTAAACACACATGACCCAGTGAGAACTTTTAAAACGCAGACGAAAGCTTCCCATCTCACAGACATTCCCAACAGTTAGGTATATATCCTGTACTTGACCATCAGGTCCACTAAGCGGCTTGCAAAATGCAAAAGTAAATACCGTATTTTTCGCTCTATAAGACGCACCAGACCACAAAATGCACCTAGTTTTTGGAGGAGCAAAACAAGAAAAAAAATATTCTGAATCTCAGAAGCCAGAACAGCAAGAGGGATTGCTGCACAGTGAAAGCAGCAATCCTGTTAGAGGACATTCGGCACAGAAACATGTGTGTATACCTTTAAGAAGTTTCTGGGATTAATTGGCTGCAGGTGACCGTTGCTATAAAGGAAAAAAGCTGAGTTTTGTTGCCTGCCTGCAGGAATAACATCCACCAGAGTTTGTGTTTATTTGCTTAGTAATAAAGTCTTCGTTTTAGTTTGGGTTTTTACACCTATGTCTCCTGGAGTCACTCTGTCCTCTGCCACCGGCTGGAAATCCCCCTCCAACAGGTTATGGGCCTAGTCCCCAGTCCTGAGTGGGCAGAGACAGAGCGTGAAAAGAACCCAGAGACTGGAAGCAACTCAGCGTTTCTCAAGCAGCTGGCTGTGTGAAGGCATCGGCAGGGAGTGTCTGTTTGGGACCAGGAGCCGAACATTTCTTCAAGCCACGTGTGAGTAAGAACTGAGTGGAAAGCTGAAAGCTGGGTGGCGCCATGGCTGGACTTGGAGCTGGAGCTCAAGGGGGAGCTTCCTATTTTCCAGTAGAGAAACTGGGAGAGTCCAATTATATGTCATGGAGTTTACAGATGCAGGCGTTTTTAAAGAAAGAACAATGTTGGACTGTTATTGTTAACCCTCCTGTAAAAGAGGAGGATGAAGAAGTAGATGAAGCAGACCAAAGGCTGGAGGACAAAGCCTATGCCAATTTAATTTTGAGTTTAGAGAAGTCTCAGTTATCTCATGTGCGAGACCTTGAAACAGCAAGTGAGATTTGGCAAGCACTGAGAGCAATACATATTAGAGACACTGCTGGCAGCAAAATTACTCTAATGAGAGCTCTGTACCGAGCCAGACTAAGTGAGGGTGAATGTGTTTCAACACACCTTCAAAGAATGTGTGATTTATTTTCACAGTTAAATGAACTTGGGGAACATTTTTCTGAACAGAGAAAGGTTTATATTGTGCTGTCTTCACTTCCTGAGTCATGGGACAATTTAGTGATGACTCTGGAAGCAATCCCAGAAAGCCAATTAACAATGCATTTCTTAACTGGGCGTTTGCTTGATGAGGAGGAAAGACGCCATGAGAGGAAGGCCACAACCCCTCACTGTAACTCCAGAAATGGGAGGCAGTCCAGTAAAAGATATGCAACTGATGAGGAGCGGCAATCTAAAGAGGTTGTAGACCACAGAGAGGAAGCAGCGTTCACAGTCAGAAGATGCTATCGTTGTGGGTCAACCAAGCATTTAGTACGACACTGCACTGTGTCTGTGGGAGAAAATACAAGACAAGGGCGGTCTGCGTTTGCTGGGAAGCGAGGAGACAGGAAGAGTCGAGTCCAGTATGTTTCTGCAGCAGTTCGAGGCACCAGTCACGACGTTGGACAAGACTGGATTTTAGACTCAGCAGCGACAAACATTTTTGTTAAGTCTGCACAAACCCTTGTAGAAAAGCAGCCTTGTAAATCTGTAAATGTAATACTAGCTGATGGAACAGTGCATGAGTCAGCTGGAAAGGGTAGTGTGAATATCAACTGTTTAAGTACCAAGTTTACCAATGTTTTATGTGTACAAAGTTTAGAAAATAATTTGCTTTCAGTAACAAGTCTTGTTAAGCAGGGATTTAAAGTAACCTTTTCTGGTTCAGGCTGTAGAATAGAGAAAGCTGGAAAAGTGGTTACAGCGTCGCTACAAAATGGTTTGTTTGTTTTGAAAGACCAGCTAGTAAGTGAGTCTGGGGCATGTGTTAAAGCCTGTAATAGAGCCTTGCATGATGAGTGCCAGCATCTGTGGCATCGTCGTTTGGGGCATGCCAATTTTCGCAGTATTGCAAAAATGCCAGAATTAAGCAAGGGAATTAAAATGAAAAAATGTTCAGTTTTTCTAGACTGCAATACCTGCAAGGAGTCTAAAAGTAAGCGAGGGTCTTATCCTGAAAGTACTAGAATTAGCAAGAGGCCATTTGCTTTAGTACATTCAGACCTTTGTGGGCCATTTGCAGAGTCTGAAGGAGGAGCAAAGTTTTTTTTGGTTCTTGTGGATGATTATAGCCGGTATACTTGGGTATATTTGTTAAAACACAAAAGTGAAACTGGTCAACTGATTAAGAATTGGATCAACTATATAGAAAGGCAGTTTCCTTACAAAGTTACCCAGTTGCAAAGTGACCGTGGAGGCGAGTTTATGTCTGAAGCCCTCCAAGTTTGGTTGAAAAAACGTGGTATTAGTCACCGTAAATCGTGTCCTTTTTCGCCTGAAGAAAATTCAGTTGCAGAACGCAAGATAAGATCTTTACAAACAATGCTAGATTCAATGCTATGTGATTCTGGCCTATCCAGGAAGTATTGGGGGGAAGGAATTCTGTGTGCTAACTACATACAGAACAGATTGTTTCATTCTACCATAAACAACACCCCTCATTTTTTGCTTTATGGAAAAAAACCCTTTTTGGACCATGTTAAAACTTTTGGTTGCTGGGCTTGGGTTCACATCCCAAAAGGACAGAGAAGGAAAGGAGAGCCCAAGGCAAAGAAACTTAGGTTTGTTGGCTATCAAACTTGGTCAAAGGGGTATCGTTTTGCACTAGGGCGTGGCAGAGTTGTAATATCAAGACATGCAGAGTTTTGTGAGCAAGATGGTTGGGTTCGTTTACATGGAAATTCAGAAGTTGTGTTATCTTCTGATGATACAGATAAATTTGTGAAATCTGAGGAAGAAAAGCCACAAATTAAAGAAAGTTCTGAAAGTGACAGTGATGAGGATTCAGGGGATGAGGATCCCAATACACAATCTCCTAAAGCTGAACCAATTTCTCCTGAGCAGGGTGAATCAGAAGGGGAAGATAGTTCAGAGGGGGAGAGTGTTCAAGTTAGAAGGTCACAAAGAAGCAATAAGGGGGTACCTCCAGAAAGGTTTACTATACAAGAAGTTAAAACTGGTGATGTGAAAAAGGAACCTCATGATTATGAGGAAGTTTTAAAGTTACCACACCAGGAAATAGTAAGGTGGAAAAATGCAATGAAAGCAGAAATGAAATCTTTAGCAGAACACAATGTCTTTACCATTGAGCCATTGCCTGAAGGAAAAAAGGCAGTGGGCTGTAGATGGGTGTATAAAATAAAACACTTGGCAGATGGTGATGTTAAGTACAAAGCCAGACTGGTAGCACGAGGCTTTACTCAAAGAAAAGGTGAAAGCTTTGATGAAACTTTTTCTCCTACTGCAAGGAGTGAAAGTGTACGTTTATTGCTAGCTCTTGCAGCACAACGTGGGTTTAAGGTAAACCATTTTGATATTGAAACAGCTTATCTTAACGCAAATCTGCAAGAAGAAATTTTTATGAATCAAGCGCCAGGTTTTGAGGCAGGAGAACAGAATTCTGTATATAGGCTGAACAGAGCAATTTATGGGCTCAAACAGTCAGCTAGAAATTGGAACGAGTGTCTTGATAATGCTTTAAAAAATCTTGGTTTTAAAAGAAGCTTAGCTGATAACTGCTTGTACACTAAAGGAAAGGGTGATAAACAAGAATTGTGTTTGTGTTATGTTGATGATTTGCTTTACTCTACAAAAAGTGACAAGCAAGTGGAAAAATTTGCAGAACAACTAAGAAAGGAATTTAAAGTAAGAGATTTGGGGCCAGTAAAAAATTATCTCGGTTTAGAAATTCAAAGAACAAACGATGGAAGTTTTTTGTTGAGTCAAAAAGACAAAATAATGGAGTTACTTGAAAGAAACAATATGCAAAACTGCAAGGGAGTAAAAACCCCAATGGAAATAGGTTTTTTCAAAAATGAAGGAGAATGCACAGAACCTGTAAATCCTGAAATGTACCATTCAATAATTGGAAGTTTATTATACATTTCATTGTGGAGCAGACCAGATTTGAGTTATGCAGTTGGAATACTAAGCAGACTAGTAAGCTGTCCTACAGAAAATTCCTGGAAAGGTTTAAAACGTATTTTCCGGTATCTAAAGCAAACACTTGATTATTGTTTAAGATTACCATCTTCAGGTTCCACAAAATTGCAGTGTTACGTTGACAGCGATTGGGCCAACCTGCCTGATAAAAAATCAATTTCTGGAATGGTATTTCAATTTGGGGATTCTTTGATAGGTTGGAAATCCAAAAAACAAAGTATAGTGGCCACATCATCAACTGAGGCCGAATACTGTGCATTGTCGGAGTTATGTAATGAGGTAAAATTTTATGTTCAGATCCTCAAGGATATAAACGTACAGTGTGATTATCCCGTCCAAGTTATGGAAGATAATCAAGCCGTAATAACTTTGTCTGGGTCTGACCAGTTTAGAAACAAATCAAAGCATTTGGAAATTAAATATCAAAATGTAGCTGAAAATGTAAAACAGAACCAGATAATGCTGAAGTATTGTGAAAGTACACAAAATGTGGCGGATGTATTTACAAAAGCGTTAACTTTTGAAAAACATGCACGACTGGTAGCAAAGTTGGGAGTTGCTGTGTGTGATATGTAAATATGTTCTGTTCTATTTAAAATACTATTGTTTCTGTTTGAATGAGAGGGGGTGTTAGAGGACATTCGGCACAGAAACATGTGTGTATACCTTTAAGAAGTTTCTGGGATTAATTGGCTGCAGGTGCCCGTTGCTATAAAGGAAAAAAGCTGAGTTTTGTTGCCTGCCTGCAGGAATAACATCCACCAGAGTTTGTGTTTATTTGCTTAGTAATAAAGTCTTCGTTTTAGTTTGGGTTTTTACACCTATGTCTCCTGGAGTCACTCTGTCCTCTGCCACCGGCTGGAAATCCCCCTCCAACAAATCCCTCTTGCTGTTCTGACTTCTGGGATAGCTGCGCAGCCTGCATTCACTCCATAAGATGCACACACATTTCCCCTTACTTTTTAGGAGGGAAAAAGTGAGTCTTATAGAGCAAAAAATACAGTAAGTAAATTCAAACCTCTTGGGCTTCCCCTTGTCTGAAACAATTGGTGGATGATGCTTCCTATATGGCAGAGGCAAGGGCACTCCAAAGTCCAGGGGAACTAAAGCAAAATGCCCGTTTCCAGGTAACCACCCTGTGATGTTCTGTTGGGTCTGTTACTGTTACAAGTAAGAATTCCCCAAACCATCTAAGTAATCTTACAGGTTTATAGAGAAGCAGGAGGTTTTTCAGGCAACCTGGTGCCAAGTTGTTCAGGGCTTTATAAGTTAGCTACAGGACCCTGAACGTGGCTCAGTAGCTGGTGCCCCAGGAACCTCTCTCTTGCATCCTGTCTGCCTCTTCTTACCTTCAGCTCTTGATTCTCCTCCATGCTCTGATCCAGACGGCTTCGGACTATGATCTGAAGGCAAAGTATTCCAATTATTTACCAGTGCCTGCATAGAGATACTACACACAAAGAAGAGTCTCCGGAGAAAAAGCCTTTCCGACTCACCAGCTGCTCTTCAGGGCAGGCATCTTGTTCGCAAAGGACAAACAGTCTTTCCTGCTCATCCTCAGGTAACGACCCATTGAGCAGCAAGGCCTGGCAAAGCAACAAAGGCAAAGGGAAAGGCCCAATCAGAGACCTCCATGGAAACGCGCCAGAGAGAAATTCAATCCCGTCTGGAAAGGCCCCGTCTGGGATGTGCAACCTTGTCTGCTTCAGCAACTGGTGCCCAACAGCACAAAAACTGGATTCTGTCCTCAGATGACATTAAAAGCGGCATTTGGACACAAGGGAAAGAAATAAGAGTGCTGCTTTTGGCAGACCGCTAAGGCCCTTTTGGAGTCAAGTCCTCAAAGTCGTAGCAGTATAAACAGCAAGCTTAGTTTCCCAAGAGATATCTATTTTAACTTGAGTATGGATAAGTGCTGTTTTGGCTACCTAAGGATCGACACTCATCTCTGAACTTTGGAAATAGACGGAGGGAGAAAGAGAGACAGACGCAATTCTAGCCCTGTGAATTAAGACTGTAATTATTCCCATTCTGCAGACCTGAGCATGAAAACAACTATAGGAGACAGAAGCTGACAGGAGTTAAGATATGGGAGATGCAAGGCAAGTAGTCTTTACTTTGCAGGCTGAATTTTTGTTTTACTTAGATCCCAGAGAGAGCACTGGAAAGCAACACTGCTGTCCAACGGCAGGGACAGTCCAACTGAGATTCGGCAAGGCTAAACTCTGAAGTTGGCAGAATGTGTGTGATAGATAACCCAGGGAGAGGCAACCCTGGCAGAATGCCAACCTCACACACATTTGCATTCCCTATGCCAAGAGCTCCCAAAGTTTGCCCAGCAAGATATCCAGTCGGGACCAACCAGGGAGCTGCTACTGTCCTGCTTCCCAAAGAAACATGCTAAGCCCTGTGCCTTCAATCAAACCCTCGTGAACTAGAGGCTTTAAAGGGGAAAATTGACTATTCAGATCCAATTTCCTGGACAGTGGGATCAGCTGCCTCCTCACTTCTCCTGGGAGACACGATGCCAGGCAGCTGCCGCCCCGAGTACCAGCTGCCTCCCGTTGGCTCCCGGAGCATGAAAAACCAGAGAAGGGAGTACGTGATCTCAGAGGGTACAGTGGGCAATCGATTTTCAGCAGGGCACCAAGCAGCCCTGCTTGCTTTTTGAGCCTTTTGTGTCTCCCGTTCACTGCCGGCTGCAAATGCACCCTCCTGCCTGCCCTGTTTGATGCTGCCAACACAATGCTGCCTTTGTGCACTCATACATAAACATTTACAATTCAAAACCAGCACAGTTCCCAGAGCATAAAATGCTGGTGCTTGAGAAAGTACGGAGCCTTTAGCAGAAGGAACAGAGCACTTGACCTCCAAGCAGAGCAGCGAGGAGGAGTAGGGTGGGTCACGTAACCAGGGAGGGGTCAGAGGTGGAGGAACAAACCGGTCAGGAAGAAACACGATCTCTCATCATTGAAGCAAGGCTTCTCACAAGGCAAATAAACTCAGTCCTTTAGAAGCCTTAGATGGAAACCTGTATTCTAGCATTTTTATCAGCTGTTGATCTGATGAAGGTATTGTCCCCTTTTCTCTATGGTTTTTACTGTGTATTCTTCCCTTTTTTTAAAAGAAAAAAAAGCAGAATAGCGTACTTGGTATGCATTTGTTACACATAGCCCAGACCTGTTCTTCTCAGACCACACTTCTGGTGTGGGGACGTATTTTCCCAGCACTTTGCATCTGGTAGAACACAGTTTGTCCCCCAGATAACACATCCAATCATGATTTGCTATTGCTGTGCAGAATGTAGTTGTGCAACTATTATGGTCATCAAGTGGTACAGAGAATGATATAAATCCCTCCCCAGCCCTATGCCAGTGCCACTTTGTGAATTTTTTACTTTGCCATGCCCTTGGTGATGATGTGCTTCCTGAGTGCGCTTCCTCAGCACTGAAGCATTCGTTCAACACATTTCATTAGTTAGCATTGAAAGTTTAAAGAGCAGCATGTCTCTCTTGTCTTCCCTGGGCTATCTCAGAATTTCTAGAACTACCAACCTCAGGAATGGCTGCAGGTCCCTTTTTGGAAACTATTTATTTAACGACATTTGTATACCACTTGATTGTAAGAAAACCTCAAAGCGGTTTACAAAAGAAACAAGACATTAAAATTATCAGTAAAAAAAAAAACCAGTTAAAAGCAAATATTTAAAGAACAATTTAACTCATCTGAATGCTAAAAACATCTCGGTTTCTATATGTTAGGATAGGCTTACCTAAACAAAAATGTTTTAAGCAGTTGCCAAAAAAGTGTCTGCCTGATGTACTTTGGCAGGGAGTTCCAAAGTACACCATTGCTTTATTACAAGAGGAAGAGACAAGTATTCCATGGCACATGTAACAGTGCCATTTCCGCAAATCCAAATGGTTGAGTGGGCAAATATGGGGCAAGGAGCTGAACCAACAGCCTCTGACTCCCACAGCTGTGCCTCAAATTACCGTATTTTTTGCACCATAACACTCACTTTTTTCCTCCTAGAAAATAAGGGGAAATGTCTGTGCATGTTATGGAGCGAATGCCTGCGGGTGGCAGGGGGGATCTGCTGCAGTCGTGAGCAGAGGATCCATGGTTCCCCTTCCTTTCCTCCTCCGTGGTTACAAAGCATGGATCCACATGGATCCTCAGGATTTTTGCATTGGGCTACTCCAAACTCACTGTCAGATCACATGTCTGTGGCCACAGCATGAACCACAAAAATCATATATCCACTATTTCATTTAGAATATTTTTTCCTTGTTTTCCTCCTCTAAAAACTACGTGCGTGTTATGGTCTGGTGCGTGTTATAGAGCAAAAAATACGGTACATACATCAACTTACAAGTGGCCGCCAGAAGCAAATGGGCTGAATGCAGACAGAGGAAGCAGAACAGATACCTGCAGTCCTGAAATCATCTTCTTTGCTTCTTCCATCTCCTTTTCCAAGTGATCTTGCTGCTCCAGGAGCTGCTCCTCCCATGCAGTCTCCAAGCCTGTGGCAGGACACCTGGCCTGCTGCAACTCTACGGGAAAAGGAGAGCACGTCTCTTCTGCAAGCAAAACAATGTGCTGGTTGAACAACTCTGGGTGGCCAAAATCAGTTTCCTCTGCACTTCAGAAGGCGGACAACAGTATAGCACATGCCTCCGAGTAATTTGTACACTTCCACGACTTCCTGCCATTAGCAACAGGATGCTATGTCCTTAGGTGAAAATTCATCTTGGCAGAATCCTCGCAAGAGGACACACTGTGCTAATCTGAACTAATGTCTTGCTCTAGTTGCTGCATTTGGGAAACTGTAAGGCAGGCACACAGGCCACGTTCACACTAACAGTCTCTCTGCCCCCCCTGCCAGGCAGTGCGCCAATTTGCACAAGGCCCAACAGCAATGCTACTGTTTTTCAGGAGGACAGCTTTCAAGTCACTCCTGTCTCAAAATCTGTAATGCCACATTGGTTCCCATGTTTGTACAGCATCCTACCTGCTATCTTTTCCCCAGTCTGTCTTTCTCTCTGCCCATCTAATGCAGACTATAAACACCCTGGGCAAGGGACCTAATCCCTTCCTTCCACATTTTTTAGAGATAGGCAGAGCTCCCCCACAAGCAGAGGCCGACAGATCTGGACAGGGTTGGGCAGAGAGACACCTTAGTTTTATCCAACCCTCCTTCAGCACAGTGGACTTTTCTATTGCTTTGCCCTGCTAGGATCCTATGCATAGTGACTTGGAAATTAGGGCTACTGAACTCGGGGAGCTTTACTTCCAAATGAGCATGCACAGGACTGCATTTCGGGAGTGGCAATTGTCATCTCAGAAGTTGCCTGGTTCAAATCTCAATACAGCTATGAACTCATTAGATGGGTCTCTGGCAAAATACTATTTCTCAGCCTCAACCCACCCACCCCAAACTGAAAAATGCTCACTTACAGAGCTACTGTAAAGGGTGGCAGAGATAAAGTTGTGAAATGCTTTGAACACTCACTAAAACATTAGAAAAATGCTACATGTTGTATTTGTTGTTGTTATTATTTAAAGAGCAAGTACTACCCAATACTTTTTAAAGAGTGACTCCAAATGACTGAGGGGAAGTACCAACCCCCATTTTCCCAGGCTCTGTTCCAGCTTCTGCGATTATGAATTCAGACTTAGTCAGATGGGGGATTTCAGGCTTTTGTTTTGAGGATCCCACCCACCCACTGCTTTCCTTGAGTTAAGGACAAAGCATCCTTCCCTGTACTGTGAATGATAAAAAGGACTTCTCTGGGACTCCCCCCCCTCCACATACTTTCATAGCTTTAAGCGAGTCCCCCCAAGACCACTACAAATGTGTCCCAGTCACATTATAGGTTTGAAAATTAAGCTCAAACAGGACTTTGCCTCAAATCCTATCATCTGCATGGACTACGGAGCCCTTTGCTGCAGTTTTTCATTCCCATCCTTGTTCTGGGGATCCCATAATAAGGGAGGGAAACTGCACTGTTTTTATCTGTGCCAGCTGAGACTTAGGCTGTTTCTAAGGGGATGTCAAGGATGCTTTGAAACCCGGAATGCATTCCTTTGGAACGTTGTTTTTGTACAGAAAGCAGGTGACATACATTTCAGAAATCAAAATGCATGATCTAAACAACATGGATCGTTCAAATTACAAACCTAATTACAAACTGCCGTTATCGTGTGGTGGTTAGAGTGGCCAACTAGAACCAGGAAGGCCTAGCCCCACATCCCCCCCACGTGGCTGTGAATTTCACCAAGTGAATGTGGGCTAGTCAGTCTCTCTCAGCCTAGACCTACTTCGCAGGGTAGCTGTGCAGACAGAGAAAGGAGAACAGAATCTTTTGTGCTGCCCTCAGCTCGTTGGAGGAAGAGCAGGTTAAAAATCAGCCAACTGATTAAAACCAGCATGAAAGACCACGAGGGTGTGGAAACAGCCCAAACCAATTTTCGCCGAAAAAGAGCAAGGACCATCTTCATATTTCAGAGGCAAACCAAAAGTCATGGGCCCCTGGCTTTAAAACATCCTGGGTTTACACTTAACAAAACGCCATGTGGAAAGCTGCCCTCAGAAATGCTGGACTGCTGTTTAAGAACCAGTGGCTCACCTGGCTAAGGCCAGTTTACCTCTAAGTGTGTCACTCTCGGAGGCAGTATGCCTCTGAATACCAATAGCTGGGATCCACAGGTTGGGAGAGTGCTGTTGCGCTTAGGTTCTGCTTGTGGGTTCCGCATAACAGACATTATGTTATGTTGGCCACTGTGAGAACAGAGTGCTGGACTAGACGAGTCCTTGGCCTGAGACAGTGAGCTCTCCTTCTGCCCCTATTGAGCTTGCTATCTGCAGTTTTAATTAATCAGAGTTACCTTTCCAGTACAGTGGTGCCTCGCAAGACGAAATTAATCCGTTCCGCGAGTCTCTTCGTCTTGCGGTTTTTTCGTCTTGCGAAGCATGGCTATTAGCGGCTTAGCGGCTATTAGCAGCTATTAATGGCTTAGCGGCTTTAAGAAAAAGGAAACAAACTCGCAAGAACTCGCAAGACGTTTCATCTTGCGAAGCAAGCCCATAAGGACATTTGTCTTGCGGAACGACTCAAAAAACGGAAAACCCTTTCGTCTAGCGAGTTTTTCGTCTTGCGAGGCATTCGTCTTGCGGGGCACCACTGTACATTAAAAGTGTTAAAATCGCTTAATCTAGCCAAATAATAAATTAACCACTGCAGCCCTAACCATGATGCAGAACCAAAGTAAAATCTCAGAGGAAGGCTGTGGCAGCCCAAGTGGTGGACATGTACCTCTCAATTTACCTGGTCAGTTGTTTGTTCCCCTACCTGTTCTGGTATCTGCTTCCTCTTCACGAACAATGTCAAATCCAGCCTTCTCCTCTGAGTGTGTTATACTGGACTCGCTCCTTGCACTGTTCACAGGGCTGGGCGATGCGAGGCTGCAAGGGGAGGGGAAGGCAAGCATTTTTTTCATTACAAATTCTTATTATTCCATCAACTTTCTATGTGAAATGAAGTTAGCATGCAAAGTTTGATTACAGCAAATACTGCCCACATCTTGAGAGCAGCGATGGAGTGTAAGAGAGGGAGTGGATTACAGCAAATACATCAGATAGAAATAGGGCGAGAAGGTAAGGTTGATAGAGCTCTGAAGAAGCAGCAGCCCTACCCCACCCATGTATTCGTTGCCCCACCCCATCCATGTCCTAATAAGTGCAGGACTGCTGCCTGGAGGATGTCACTACCTCCACCCACCTCACAAGCCACTCCTGGTTGACAAGTTAATCAGAGGGGACACTGTACCTGTGAACTGGGGCTGGTAAAAAACAACAACTCATTGGACAGACTTTCAGTAATTAAAAATGGGGCATAATCCATTGGTAAGTTATCCTGCGCAAGCCCCATGGAAATGAACTGGATGTGTGCAAGAGTACAGAAGAACTCCCCAAGGGAATACACTCCATGAGTTCTCGTATCTCTCTCCCGTTTTGCCCCCCTAAATGGCACCTGAATCTGCTATCTGACATTGTTATCTCACTCTTGCCCGATTAGAAGGCCACGCTTCTGCTGCCAAGCCCATTCCTCACCCTGATCTGGATGCTGACGGCTAAACAAAGTGATACTGGGAGAGTTTCTTTTTCTAGCATACATGAGAAGAGTTCAGAAGGGCTACCATATACCCCCCAGAAGTCAATGAGTTTATTCTACACTTACACATCAGGAATTCTGCTTCCAAGGGTGGGGGCCATTGCGGTCCTCCATATGTTAATGAAGTACAATTCCCATCAGCCCTGACCACTGGCCCTGCTGGCTGCTGGGAGTTGCGAGTCCAATAAGACCCAGAGGACAACGGGCTCCCCATCCCTGGCTTACAAACACTTCTTGGGGCAACTTCTGCCCTTAGGAGTTGGAAGCTGCAAACAAAGGCTACCCACAGGATCCAGTCTCTCATTTGGTCCTTGCTTCTAAGGGCCTTGTGCAACTAAAGCCTAAAGTCAAATAGATTATTTTTAGCAAATTGTGAACTCCCATGTGGATAAAGATACCAACTTATGATCTGGCTTTAAATGCCTGAACTCAGCTTTTTTCTTTCTTTTTTAACCCCAGTCCTCCCAGCTGCTTATTCTGCTCCAACCACTCAAACTTTCTTCCCTGTGCCCCCACCCCAAATTCTTCTCACATCCATCGCCCAGACAACAGAGAAAGGCATCTGAAACTCACTGACCCATTTAACATGTCCCTAAAGAATTTCTCCTTGCAAGTGTGAGCCAGAGTTAATGTATCCTTTTCCCAGAGACAGGAAACAAAAGGTAGAGCATACAAAAGAAAAAGTGGGGGAAAGAGTGAAGAAAACAGAATGGATTAAAAACAAAAATAGAAGACACCTCCCCAGCCAGCCTGCTTTCCAGATATTCTCAGTACTTTTGAGTTGGATCCCACACCTAGAAAGGCACACCTAGGAGGCACACACCGCAGAATAATAATATCAAAGCATCTCATAAACCCTGACGTGTTCTTAGCATGTTCGTTTTAACTCACAGGGCAAGAGCAAGGCTTCACCAAGCTCCTGAGTAATGTAGTTCAAAAATCAAAGTCCCTCCACTAAATCTACTGCAGCTTGGCTGCATTCAAGATCTTAAGACACAGGTTGCCATACTACTAACCCAACCCAGAGCTGCAGGCAGGCGGGAACACAAAATGTAAAAGTTGTGTGTTTTGTATATCAACCCCCAAGGAATCAGTGACTTGGGCTACACTGTACCAATGTGGACTAAGGGGCTTCACTCAGCACAGCTGTCAATCCAGTCCTTAGGGATCAGCTGGAAGAGCACAACTGACACACGCATGGATTCTCCCTGACCATGGAAGCACCTTTAGGGACCTCCATGCATAGGAGCAGTATACCACAGAAGAAAAGAAACTAGACAGGGACCCTCAGCATTTGAGGACTACTGTTGGAAACAGAATGCTGGAGGGAGATGGACTGTTGTCCGATGCTTTAAGATATCTGAAAGTTCTCTATATCTCTCATTCTGTGGGATCAACATGGCAATGACACTCTAGTGACAGAAGTCACACAGGCAGTAGGACTGCCAACTTCTCCTCTTCTTTTTGCAGACATCGCTATTTTGCCTTCGTTAAGACCTGCAGAAATGAAGCCATTTTCCTCATCACTTTATCACCATGCCAGTACTGTATTAGCTTCACCAGTTAAATGTCTGTATAACACAAAGGCATGGGAGCAGGGCCAGTTAAGAAGGTTGCAACCCAGCAGGACAGCCCAGTGGAGGCAAAGCAAGATGAAGGGAAAATGCATATGGGAGATGGTGGTACTAAGCAGACACTGCTCACTGGGACGAGGGCAGCTGGGCATTCTGATCCACAGAAATGCCCACTCCATTCGGAAGGATATCATCCATCACACCCTCCCCTAAAGCACCTTTGGGGGTAGCACACACAAGAAAACACTCAACCATGCTTTAAAATGCAACTACAGAAGGATTTTAATAACCACCTTACAGATGTAGCTCAGTTTAATGGCAGTTTCACATGCAAGATAACAGCTCCATTTTACAGTTCTTTGGCCCATGATCTACCAGTGACTGCCATCAGGCCACCTCCAAAATAAATAAAGTTACCAAGTCAAAGAGTGCACCTGAAACCCAAAACATGAGTCACAGATCATCTCCATCATGCATCCTACAAGTTAAGTGTTGGGGTGGGGGTTAAGAAAACTCAGAGTTTTGCTATCAATTCCCTGGAGAATTGTGCATTTTAAGCTGTCAGTTTTCAGATTTTCTTTTAAAAATCCCAATTCAACATTCAACATTAGCAACACATGGAAATTAGGTCTGGGGCACTGAATCTATTTCTGCAGGATTTATGGTGCAGGAAAATTATTTATATGCATCATTCCTTCCAGCACTGCCTGGTCCATTACCTAAAAAAGGGTTAGACATAAGCGTCTAACAAGGGACCACTGAACGGTCTTAGCAACCAAGCCCACATCCCCTGACCATTTCCACAACCAACCTGCCCCCCTCTTTTAAATGACAACAGCTGCTGCCACTGGCTCACCATTTGACCTGCTTCCCTCCCATGATCCCCCCTTGACCTCTGGCCTCACAGAGCCAATCTCCGAGGGAGCCTCGGTCTTCCACAAGTCCCAGCCACGGGCATGCCTCGTTCCTTCACGTGCTCAGAATTTCTGCGCCAAGGATGTCGGCTCCTGTCAAACTAGCAGAGAAATGTTTGCCAGGCGGACTCCCTCGCACGAGCCAAGAAATTCACAGCAGGAAGAAGGGGGGAAATTAAAAGAGCAGCTCCGGTTCTTTGGCAGGAACAGGTCGGTGATAAATCTGCAGCCTACGAGCATGGCTCAGGGAGGAGGAGGCTGGACGCTCGGCAGCCGCGGTTTTCGGCTTGGCTCGGTCGCCTGTTGGGTTGTTGTTTGTTTTGCACTGTTGCATTTTGGTCTGACGTATGCCCAAAATCTTTTCAACAGCAAGGATCTCGGTCTGAATGGCAAGTCCTGCTTTTCATCCCATTCTAATCAGTCCAGCTCTCCAACAGCCGCCAGAGAGACCCCAAGCCAAGCCACAGAAACCACTTCTCCAGCCTCGGATCCTATCTCCTGTAGCACAGTAGGTAGCTGTCCCCCAGTCCTCTGTGCCTGTTATGTCTGTGTGCGCAGGCGAGTGCCTATGAGTGCGTTGCTTCTTCCTTCGCTCTCTGCAGCTCCGTCTCTCTCCTGCTGTCACCAGGGCTGTGCGAGGCAGAAACCTATTCTCTAAGATGTCTAAGCACAGGGTGGAGAAGAGGGATGGTCGAGGGGAGGGGAGGGGCTGGGAGTGGAAGAGGGAGGGAAGGAAGACGTGCTTCATGGCCTGGGAAAAAAACAGCATGATTTGGGCAATTCCTGTCTGAAGCATGTCTGCTGCCTTTCCATAACAGTACTCTGCTTTCCCTCCCCAGAAACTGTGGCACTAAGAGTGTGTCTGTGTCTCTGTGTTGATGAGGATCCAAAGGAAATTATCTCTGGCTATGTCACAGTCAGGAGGATAGGCATAGGAAGCAAAAATTGTCCATCTACACTTTTTTTATATATAAAGAACAACCAATAGATTTCAGACACTAATAAAATGGTGGCATGTCTTTTCCGGGCAGATTTGACAAACTGCCTCCCTGATTTGGGGGGCGGGGGGGCCTTGAAATTTCCATTTGGCAACCAGGATGCACAAGGCAGCTTTATTGGCGAGCCCCCTTTTTTTATTTAAAACTGCAACATGCACCAAGTATAAATACAGCAGGGTGATATCAAAACAGCAAAGGAATTGTAGACAGACACCCACACCCTGCCACGGAGTTACCACTAAGTATTTCACAACCATCAGAGGGGCCAGTGACGAAACCAAGATGCCCTGTTCATGTTCCACAGCTGGGAAAAGCAAAACACAGAGCCAGGGAGAAAGAAAACAACTTGGGTCTGGCAGTCACACTCTGTTCCTCAGTTACTATTGGCAACAGCTACCATTGCTATATACAAAGATCTCACAGAAAAAGAAGGATGGCAATGAAAATGCACTTCATACTCTATCCAAAAGAGGCCAGCTACATCAAGGTAACCCTATGCACCCAAAATACCATAGTAAGAGCCACTTGTATTCAAACTTTTGGTGAGGATGGTAGAGAGATGGTTACAGCCACAATGCTCTAATTGATATACCTATCAATATAATGGTCATGCAGAAACCCCAATGAAGTCTGCCTCAGTAAAATTGTCAACCATCCTGAGCCCTCAAAGCAGGGATGCTGGAGGAAAATCCAGTGCCCTGTGCACAAGGATCACACCTCAGAGCAGATGCGGGAGTTACCGGTACATGAAAACCCCTTCATACTCCTCTCCTAGTGCTTGTGCATAGGCACGAATTATTTTACATGTGCATTTTTGCAGGAGGGCTGCATTTAATACAACAGAGGGCTGAACAGGAAGAAGGCAGGTAAAAGAGTGCATTTTTCTGCTCTGAGGGCAAACTTTAAAGCAGAAGAATTTGCCATTCTCCAAACAGACACAGTGAGCTGCTTGGCAATCATGAAAATGTTACACCCCCACTCAAGGCAAAAACTGTACACCAAGTCAGACCACTGGTCCACCTACACTGGTTCTGAAGGGGGGGAAATGAATGCCAGGGGCTCCAAAAAGGTATCTCTAAATTGAGCAAATGGGCATCTAATTGGCAAATGTAAGCCAGTGTAAAGTGACAAAAAATACTAACTTCCATATAAAGTAAAGGGACTTGAATCGGTGGTGCGTGGTGACTGACGAGGAAAAAATCTTGGGGTCATAGTGGATAGCTCTAAGAAGATGCTGACCCAGTGTGTGGCAGCTGTGAAAAAGGCAATTCAGTGCTAAGGAACATTAGGAAAAGGACTGGAAATAAAACTGCAAATATCATAGCAGCGTTATACAAATCTATGGCGCAAGCACACTCTGAATATCGTGGACAGCTGTGGTCACTACTCCCAAAAAGCATACAGCAGAGCCAGAAAGGGTTCAGAAAAAAATGCAACCCATATGATCCTGGGGCAAAAACAACTCCATTATGAGGAAGGGTCAAAATGTTTGGGGGGTTTTAGATTAGAAAAAACGGCAGGGAGGGGACATGATCGAGTTCTATAAAGTTCTGCATGGTGTGGGAAAAGCATGCAGAGAGAAGTTTTTCTCCCGTGCTCATAATACTGTAAGCTGGGGTCATCCTATGAAAGCTGAATGTTGGAAGATTCACTCCTAGAAGAGGCAGTGATGGCTGCCAGCTTGGATGGCTTTCAAAGAGGGTTGATGGAGAATAAGGCTCTCGATAGCTGCTAATCATGACGGCCGTGTTCTACCTCCACAGCAGAAGGCAGAATGCTTCTGAATACCAGTTGCTGGAAGCCACAGGAAGAGAGAGCACTGTTGTGCTCAGGTCCTGTCTGCAGGCTTCCATAGACATCTGGTTGACCATAGCATACTGAACTAAATGGGAAACTGGCCAGATTCAGCAGGCTCTCCTTATGTTCTCATGCTCTATGGTTCATTATAATTGTATAAACCAAGATTCACAATGCCTATATTCTACCCACAGTATCATGCTTCTGAATACTAGTTGCTGGGGCTCTTGAGAACAAGAGAGCTGGCGTTCTCGTATCCAGATTGAGGGCTTCACAGAGGCATCTGATTGGCCACTATGGGATACAGGATGCTGGACCAGGTGGGCCCTTGCTCTAACCCAGCAGGGCTCTTCTGTGTCCTCCTATTAGCTCTCCAAAGTTTCAGGAAGAGACTTTTCCCAGATCAGCTACCCAGAGCTCCTTTTTAACTAGAGATGCTGAGGACTTTATGCAAGGTCCCTCCCCTGTCAGAGGCGGTGTGTCCTTTATGTCCCATGATAATCCTGAAAAACTACGACCCACTAACATAGATTAGAAGCCCAACTTCACCTATGACACATCTGAAAGGCCAGGAGAGAAATATCCACCCTTTTGCCACCTTCACAGTGAATACAACAGAGTGGTTAAAGAAACACGTTAAGGTGTAACTAATCTGCAGCTACTGAGTCTATGACCTAGATTTAAAGCCAGCACCAATCACCTACATCATCTTTGGAAGCATCATAAATTGCCTTGATGCTGACTTAACTTGAATTCTCCCTCTGAGTGGCTGTACCTAGCCTGCAGCCATTATCTCCCCTTACCAGCTTGGCAGTTACGCTGCAGTTTAAACAGGCATTTTCCATGTCTGTGACAGCTCTGGATTTGGTAAACCAGCACCAGATGCCTTTATCCATGACAGGCTCAACAGCCCACCTCCTTTCGCATGGAACAAGTTGTGCATCTGGCACTGCTGGGATGGAGACGCACACAAGGTGTGGGAGAGATGGCGAACCACTCTGCAGGGTAGCCTGGATTTGATGTCTCAATCTGGGACACTGGTGTGGGGATATAAACAGCATTTCCATATCTGCTTCTCCCCCCACAAAACCCTACAGCACACAGAAACTACTGTTTCCCCCTGCAATAATGGACACAACTCTGAAACATCTCCCTCCTTTTCAACCTCCCCCTTGGGTCCCGCTGCTGAGTTTCACAATGCAGCTTCTGCCCTTTGTCTGTACACAGTTACAAAGCCGGCACACAAATCCACATTTAACGGATGGAGAATATCCCCCATTCTCAAGACATTATGATTGAAATCTAATTACACATCACAGCACAGTCCTGGGTTTAATTAAAAAGCATTTTAGTTCTAGCTTGACATAATCTCCGATCAATTTCCTAGCAGGTTGTCTGTCCTTCTGCCTGCTTCTCAGCCCTACAGGATTAGGAGAACTCTGGGAAATTTGCACACTGGATCAAACCTGTCAAATCTTTGGGGGTCTTCTTTTCTCTTGCTGGGGATACAGCACCTGCAGGGGGGAGTCAACAAGGCTAAAAAAAAAAAGTATTTGGGAAGTTCACACAGCTTTAACACCATGTCTCAACAGAAAACCCAGTCTGAATTTGGGTTCCCAGTTACATACTGAGTTTGCCTATATATCCAATTTAAGGTGTGAAATGGACAGGGTAAAAAGCACCCAGTTTCTATTCATCCACAGCCACAATGTGCCCCTATTACCTGGCCTTTGATACCCAAGATGTGTGTTTTCAGGACCTGAAATGTGACTGCAATTTTTAAAAACTGTTTTTAATAGTGAAATTTAAATTGTCGTAACCTGCCCTGGAATCTTCTGGTGAATCTACTACTACTACTAGGCTCCCAACCAGCACTCAGACATGGACTTTGGTGAAAGTCAATAGGAAGGAAGTTCCTGAACTCTGGGGCAGTCACAATAATGTAGTGCTTAGACTGCCACTATTAACTATGATTATTAAACGAAACCTCCATGTACAGCAGCAGGTGACTAAGCTGTGGTCCTCCTGATGTTGTTGGACTCCCATCAGCCTCAACTAGCACTGTGAATGGTCGGGCACGATGGGATCTGAAGTCCAACAACGTGATGTACAGCAACAGTATACCTCTGAATACCTGAAGCTGGGAACAAACTAACAAGCAGGGAAGGCCATCAGCTTCAAGCCTTGCATGTGAGCCATCCAGGGGAATCTGGCTGGCTGAAAAAGATTGGACTAGAGGACGCTAGTAGCACAAACAAGACAGTTCTTGTGGAACACCTCTCCTCCTGTCCTCGTGCACAGATGACACAATAAAGGAGATGCTCTAGAACAGGGGACAGCAAAATTTTTCAGCAGGGGGCCGGTCCACTGCCCCTCAGACCTTGTGGGGGGCCAGACTATATTTGGGCAGGGGGGATGAATGAATTCCTATGCAGAGATGCATTTTAAATAAAAGGACACATTCTACTCATGTAAAAACACACTGATTCCCAGACAGTCTGCAGGCCGGATTGAGAAGGCGATTGGGCCGGATCCGGCCCCCATGCCTCAGTTTGCCTACCCAAGCTCTAGAATACAACAGGATATAAGGGACGAGGCAATTTCTGCCGTGGGTCAGGCCCCACAAGAAACCGCCATATTCTGTGTGAAGCATGAACATATGCCAAAAGAGCTTGGGAGCTGGGGAGTGGGAGTGGAATTCCAAGTAACATTCCCAAATAATGGAGTCAGCATATTGCTTGCTTCCAGAATCCTCAGCTCCTGATTACCAGAGTTATGGCAGACTTTAGGTCAGGAAAAGAGAGGGGGGAAATGTTGCCAATTAGAACAGCAGAGGGAACTGCAGGAGGCAAATTGTAATTACCCACCCTGGAATCGGGCCAGGCTCTGTGGGCCAATCACTCTAACTCTTGTGAAATGTGCCATGC